GTCACCTCTCATGCCGTGCACAGCTCCCAAAACCCCACTGAAGGGCCAGCTAGGAGTTGGTTCTGACTTCATGACAATGAGAGAGAGAATTAACCACTGCTGAACCGTGGAAATGTGACATTCTGGGATTGTGTGATAGTCTAGATAGAATTCTACAATTAAAATTCCAATCTTTCTTTTGTTTTAACCCTCATGACCAGGGCATGTCCAGCTCACAGTCCTGTCAGGTAGCAACATCCCAGTAAATGCTTTTATGTGTGTGGTAGAGACGGTGGACAGGCTGCCGGGAAAACAGACAAATGTCTCAGAAGATTTGAAGCCAGAGTTTTCCTTAAAAGCAAGGATGTTAAGGCTTCATCTCGCATCCATAGAATATATTCTCAAGAGGGGATCATACTCAGAAAAGTGGTAGTTATTAGGTGCCATCAAATCAAGTATGACTCTGGTGGCCTAGTGGCAAGGAGCTGCACTGCAATCCCAGAGGTGGTGCACAGTTTGAATCCACCAGATGCTCTGCTGGAGAAGGAGGGACAATCTCCAATCTGATTTGATGGTACACACACACACACACACACACACACACACACACACACCACACTCGAAGAAGAAGAACAAGGAAGGAGGAGAAGGAGAAAAGGAGACAGAGAAGAAGAGGAGGAGGAGGGGAAGAGGAAGAGGAGAGGAGGAGGAAGGGAGGAGGAGGAGGAGGAGGGAAAAAGGAAGGAAGAAGGAGAAAGAAACTTGCCCCCATCTCCTTGTGCTGAAAAGTACAGGATGGAGGAATGAGAGGAGATGGACTGACACTGTGACTGTGGCAACGGGCTCAGGGACAGCTGACTGAGAGGATGGCACAGGATCTGGCAGGCTGCATGCGGTCCTACTATGAGTAGTAGTACATTCTGTTGTAGTTAACTAGGGTCAGAGCCAGCTAGAAGGCACCGAAGAGCCAAGGCAATGATGCGGGGTGGACCAGACGGGTGGAGTGCTTCATCCACCAGATGGCAGCAGAGGGCTGTCCTGCGAGGATGCGGCCCCATCAAGAAAGGTGCGAGGGGGCTGCTGGAGCAGATCCTGAGTGGGAAGCAGGCAGGTAGACAGGCAGACAGGCAGGCAATGTGGGAAGGGAAGTGGAAGGGGAACACTGCTGAGCCAGTGTCACTCATGTGCATTTGAGTGACAGTGACGAAATGAAAAGCTTTAAGATGTCAAAAAGACGATCCCAGCCGTTGATCAAAGTGAAGAAGGTCGAGCAGCCAGGGCTTAGAAAGAACAAGAATTGAATGGTCTGCAAGGCTCTGAACCTGGATTTTATAGAATCAGCTTTAAACCTACAGTTTGACTTTCTTTTTACCACTTTTTTTTTGCAATTTTTTTAAGGGCACATGAGTTTGGAAGAGCTTGCCTGGAGAAATAGATTGTAGGGCAACAAGAGTTTGTAAGATTGTATGTAGCCCTGGTGTCCTAGTTGTTAGGAGCTGTGCTGCAGTCCTGAAGGCACCTGGTTTGAATCTACCAACTGCTCTGTGGGAGAAATATGGGCAATCTCCTTCCATGTAATGAACTGTTTCTGAAAACCTCCAGAAGGTCAGCTATTTGTCGGTTCCAACTTGATGGTACACAACAAGAACACCATGCCTTTTATTGTTGCTAGACCACTTGCTAAATCATTTCTATGTAATACTTGTTGGGATGACCTAGGAGCTTCAAGGTCCTGGCACCATGCCACCTTTGGCTGTGAGAGTTATAAACACCTTCGGTGCATATGGAGACTGAAGTCTTATCCCTTCTTCAGTCTTAGAAAGTAAGCCGCTAATACAACTGCTATATTATCATTGTGGAGCTGACAATCTCTTTCTTTGGCTTTACAACTAAGGGCAAATTGCAAGCTACTGTATTGTAATAATAAGTATGGTATAAATGTTTGCAAAGAACATTGTTCTAAGTGGTACAGTACTGGTCTGTCAGTTTGCTGTACTGAGATAACTTGGAGTTGTTGTGATACTGAATGCTGTGCCACTGATGTGTCAAATTCCATAATGATTACCCGTGGTGAACAGGGTTTAGTAGAACTCCCAGATTAAGACAGGCTTGGAAGCAGGATTGGCATTTATTTATTAAACAACAGGCCTTTGGAAACTCCATGAACATTAGAGAAATGATAATAGTTATAGAGCAGGATTCAGATATTTTGTTCATTAGATCGCTATCAGTTTTATTTGACCCAACAGCACTTAATAACCACCACCACAACAACAACAATAAAGACTTAAACTTGACATATTCCTTTCCTGATTTAAGAGGAGTATCCAAGAAATTGGTAGATGACTTAAGAAATAAAGTTTCTCATAATAGTCTTTTAAAGAACTGTGTCTTTGAGAAAGGAAAGAGGAAAATTGCCTAGAAGTAACTTGGGGGAACAAAGAGAACCTTTCTTTTTTTATCCTTGAAGTACTCACAAAGTGAGTGGAAAATACATTTATTGTTAGAGAAGGTTGATGGAGATGCCACATCTTTATTGAAATGCCACCGGTTAAACAAGGTCAGGTTGAGGAGATAATAAATTTACTGATGGCAAGGTACCTATTTGATGCAAGCCATGGGCACCTTCTCACATTTCCTTAATGTCTCTTCTGGTTTTGCAAAAGTCTTTTTTGTTGATAGAATCTACATTCTATACAATTCAGTTATCTTAAGTGCACAAGGCAGTGGGTTTTTTATTTATTGGTAGAGTTGTGCAATTATCACTACAATCTTCTATTAGAAAATTCTCGCTACTCCAAATAGAAATTTTAAGCCCTTTAGCAGACATTCCATACCACATACCAGCATTCAAAGCATTGGGTGCCTCTTGGGCCTCAAATCTTTCTGCCTTCACCAGCTTGGAAATGTTCTCTACATTTAATAGTTCATGTAATATGGGTAATGGAAATTGGAAAGATCTGGTGTGAAAAACAACATATACGTTGTAAGTAAACCAGTATAAAATAAACATTTTATTGAAAAAAAGAGTTTATGTGATGAGATCAAACCCATCCAGGTCATCTGCTTATAATAAAGCTAAGTGTTTCACACAATTATAACACAGTCATTGCAGTACTATCACTTCATATTAAAAATTATGGAGAATTGGGAGAGACAGCTTCCATTTGCGGATTATTTTAGAAATTCTGCCTACCATGATGACTATTAAAACAAACAAAAAAAAGGAATGGTTTTCAGAACAAAAATATTTATTTTGTGTTATAAAGAATAAAAATTATTGTGATACTGAATAAAACAATGAGCAGAATCTGGCAAATAGTGTGAAATTAATAATAATATCATTATCTTAGCGTGATTATGAAATTATTGCTGACCTGAAATTCTATGTGATCTAACTTGACTATTTCTTTTATAGTCCTGTTAGTTATAAATCCTCAACCTAATAAGCCCTAATTGAGACAACTACATTCTTTTTATTTCTTCAGTTGAGGAACAGATTGTCAGAATGTTAAAATAATGTACATTATTCTTTGGTCAGTTCCCAAATATCATTTATGAACATTTTAATACTGAGGGCTATAGTCTTAAATGTAGGGTATCATTTGTACTGAAGGCTAAAGACTTAGGGATCCATGTTCTAATTAAGAAGCAAGCCTTATGCACATCTGTAATGGCACTGTCATTGGCAATTTGGCTTCTTACAATGAATACTATCCTGTTACCAAATTAAGTGCACTATCCTTTAAAATGTGTCTACTTGTACCAACTCATTTGTGTTTCATGGGGAGAAAAAAAAAGCAGCAGGTCCAGGATTAATTTCTCCTTTTAAAATGAAAATTATGGGAGCCTTATAGATGGAATAGTTTGTCCAAGCATGTATAACTATTCTTACAAATGTTGAGAATAGTGTTTTGTTTTAATAATCTAGGAAAATATACGGACCAACATAAAAGTAATGATCCATCATTATTCTTCATTCATGTGTTAAATTAGCTAGAAGCATTAGTAACAGCAATAAGTGTCTGTTTAGCTTGTGAGTATTTTAAGCTTTCATATTTATAGAGTTCATTAAATAACAGTTGGAAAGTTAATAGTATATGTTGTTGTTGTGTACCATAGAGTCAGAACCCACCCATAGCTGACCCTCTTGGGGAGGGATGGTTTTCAGAGGCAGTTAATCTCATGGGAGGAGATTGCCCATCCTTCTCCCATAATGGTATATAGAAAGATGTAAAAATAAGAATGATAAAATTTAATTGCTTCAAATAATGGAAGAAATTTAAGATAATATAATCAGAAATATGTCTCAAAATTGAACATTAGTTATATAAGTTTTACCTAATGGGTCATTCAAATTCTTACTGTAATTATTCTTTCAGGTGTATTCAAATTCCCATTCTAATGCTAACAGATATAATACGAACTTTACATGTAAAATCTGAAAATTGGCCGAAAAGGAAAAGCAGTGAATAAAAGAAATCCTTTAAATGATGTAGGTGATAATAAGAAATTTACATGTAAAATCTGAAAATTGGCAGAAAAGGAAAAGCAGTGAATAAAAGAAATCCTTTAAAAGATGTAGGTGGTGGGGCGACAAGTTCTGTGTGGCTGTTGTTGGTACATTGATCTTTCCTCTTCATAAAACAAGTTTTTGTCTTCAGTTGTACTTTACTTTAAAAAGACAAAACATTCATTATATCGAAGTTCAGAAAAACTTAAACCATCCTCCTATCACTTTCATGAACAGACACAATGTCTACGAAATGCATTTATACATTGGCACTGTAAAGTGCGTGGGTATCAGTTGCAGAGTTTGATGCTGACTGGTCTGGCTTAATCTCACATACCCTTATCGTTGGTCTTACAACTTCCCCCCCCAACTCTTTCCCCTCCCACAATATGATTATCACTAAAGAAACTCTGACATAAGAGTAAGAGCTGGCTTGTGCCATTATCTTATAAAAGACTGTCTTTGAACAAAGTCTCAAGCTTAAAGAGCATCATCAGATTTCGGATCTTCAGGGCTCCTCTTGAGGAAGCAGCTTCCACTTCACTGAGAGGTCAAATTCTTCATCAAAACCATCCAGCTCCTGCTCCTTTGACAGCTCCAGGAAAACCTTAAAGGGATGAATGAGTAGAGACAGTCACACAGCCTCCTGTAGCTCCAAGTGAACGGGGAGTTGGTCTAAATGCATAACAATCACATGACTGGTATAAAAGACACTAAACTGACCCACCTGTTCAAGAGTGCACTGAGACAGGATGTACTCCTCCAGCTCGAAGCTCTGCTTAACTGAACAAAGAGAGCTTAGGTTAGAGGTGCCTCTTCTCACTTTTGCCAAGTTATGTACAAAAAGCGAAAACAAGTAGATCTTACAGATAAATAATTATATACTGAATATTCTTTGACCAAATATGAGAATGTGTATTGAGATCACAGTCATAATAGTAGCATCATCCTATTAGCCACCATGCTATAGGTCTTAGTGGCATTATTATGCAGCCATAAAAATAGAATGGAGCTCTCAGACATGCAAAGGCATGGATGGAGATATTTTGCTAAGTGAAAGAAATCAGACACAGAAAAGTACAAGATCCTACTTCCATGAAATGTATGTTGTTGTTGTTGTTGTTGTTATGTGCCGTCGAGTTGTTTGCGACTCATAGTGACCCTATGTACAACAGCCCTAAACCCTGCTCTATCCTGTGCCAATCGCATTGCCTCTGACATACCCATCCCAATTACCCCAGTCACTGAATCAATCCACCTCATAGAGGGTCTTCCCCTCCTGCACTGTCCCTCTACTCTACCCAGCATGATGTCCCTCTCTAAAGACCTGTCTCTCCTTACAACATGTCCAAAGTATGTCAGACGAAGCCCCAGAATCCTTGCCTCCAAGGCAAATGCACGGAGACATAGAGTAGAACAGAAATGATGAAGGGGTGGAGGTAGAGAGGATGGGGAATTATTAACAGGTACAGAATTTCTGTTTGGGATGATGTGAAGGCCAGCAAAAGAAAGAAGACCCACTGGACCCTGCCCATCATTACCCTGTCTTTTCACCCAGATCCTTCCCAATACCTTCCTCGCCTCCCTCCAACCCATCAAATTGTGCAACCCTGTGGTTTTGCCCCACTCATCATTACCTCTCCTTCCCACCCCTTCCCACTTCAAGTCCTCATACATGTTTTACTAGTTATCCTTCTATTTTTACAACAGTGGTGTTATGCAATGTTTGTCCTTTTTGAGATTGAGTTTGTTCACTCAGCATAACGCTCTCTGTTCTCTCCCAAGTTACGTGGTGTTTTTCAAAATCATTGCTGCATAGCTTTCCATTGAGTGAATGGACCATAATTTCTCAATTCATTTAGTTGTGGTTGGACATTTGGGCTGTGTCCATGTTCTTACAATGGTGAACAACAGTGCTGTGAACATTGGTGTACAAATCTCCATTTATGTCTCAGTTCTAATTTCCTTGGGGTATATCCTTCCTTAGTAGTGAAATAGCTGGGTCATACAGAGTTTCTATGTTTGACCTCTTGAGAAAAATGCCAAAGTGCCTTCCAGAGTGGTGGTACCATTTTACAATCCCACCAGCAAAACTGGAGCTCTTAGTAATTAACATGTGGTATCTCAACTCTGTGCATTCATTACACTCGCTTTGTTTAAGGTTATCACTCACCTGTTTACAGAGCTTCATTCCAGAAGTTATTCTTACCTTGCTCTAGTTTGAAGAAAGCCTGGGATAAAGGTTTCACGTCCTCCACTGGCAACTTATAGACCAAGAGGGAGGAGCACCTGGGAGGAGAAAAAGAGTGAGCTTGAGTACTGAGCTTCACGTTCACAACCACTGCTGGATACATATTTTAAAAAGAGCAATTGGCTCATTGTTGTTGTATGTTCTTGAGTTGACTGCAACTCCTAGTGACTCACAGTGACCCTGTGAACGACAGATCTGAACCTTGTCCTGTTCTGGACCGTCCTCAGGGTCTCTGATATGCTCGGGCCCATTGTTACAGTCACTGTATCCATCCACCTTGTTGAAAGACTTCGTCTCCTTGGCTGACCCTCCACCTTTGCCAGCACGATCTCCTTTTCCAAGACGTGGCCCCTCAGGACAACATGCCCAAAGTATACTCTTATCAACACGTAAACATATGTATTTGTATAATGTGCTGGCAGCTGTAATATGAATGTTCTTTAATGAGAGGAAATCAACCTGCTGAAACGTGGGCTGAAGGACAAAAGGGAAAGAACTGGTCAGACTGAAGTAGGGTTGCTCACCAGCCTAGTGTGGGATCAGCCAATAAACCAGGCAAGTACTGGTTTACTTCTGCTTGCTTACCAATCTATAGGAAACACTTTGACTTTTTTTTCCTCCCCAGCACATCAAAGTTGTGCTTCTAAGCATAACTGGTACTTGTCTCTCTCCCAAACCCATAATACTTTCCTACCTATGAGAGAATCATAATCTCTCTCAAATTTACAATCCAGAACATGGGCATCCGATACTCTACAAACAGTATTTTTTTTCTCTACTAGTTTATTCACAAAATTTGAATATAAATTTGAACAAATTCTTTCAATTTCCCTCATGCCTCCATCAAATTGTACAACCCAATGATTAATCCCCCTTCCCCCTGCACATCCGCATCCCTCTGCTTCCAGCCTCTCCCACCCCTCCTGGATCCTTATATTTATTCTACAATAATGGGGGGTTTTGGTTTGGTTTTGTTTTTAATTATTTTTATTATTTTTTATGTGTGTACCATCAAATCAGATTTGACTGGTACAGGAAGAGATTGTTCCTCCTTCTTCAGCAGAGCATTTGGTGGATTTGAACCATGCATCTCTGCGATTGCAGTGCAGCTTCTTGCCACTAGGTCACCAGAGTTCACCTACAATAATGGTTTTATACAATATTTATCCTTGTGGGATTGAGTTAGTCACTCAGCGTAATGCTCTCTAGTCCCTCTCAAGTTATGTAATAATTTACAAAGTTATTACTCCTGTGTGCTGCATAGTATTCCATTGTGTGAATGTACCATAATTGTATATAATGAACAGTTTCATATGGGGTTTATCATAACTCATGGGAAACCGTTCTTTACAGATTAGTAAGCACAAAGAAGTCCATGCTTACCTTGTTCTTTTGGTAACCCAGTCCTTGTTATCATTATACTTAAGAAGAAGAATTTATCAAAGTAAAAGCAACATATGAATGGATAAACAAAATGCAGTCTAGCCATTCAATTTTGTTGTTGGAGGTGCCAGTCTTTGGAATAAGACATCATACTTGACTAGTAGAGGGTCAGATAAAGAGAAGAAGACCTTCAGTGATAAATTGTATTGATACAATGACTGCAGCCATGAACTTGAGCATAGTGGAGACTGTGAAACTGGAGCAGGATTTGAATCTGCATAAGGTCACTATGAGTTGTAATCTACTTACCATTGACATCAAAGCCGTTTAGACTCACAGTGACTTTGTATCAGAATACATCTTCCCCTGTGGATTTCATAGGCTATGATATTTATGGAAACTAAGGTTTAGGTTAGAACCATCAGAGTAGTAGCCACTGTAATACTAGGGTGTAGTGGTATATTGTTGTTGTTGTTTGACGACGTCAAGTCGTAGACGACTCATAGCAACCCTATGAATGAACAGCCTGAGCACTGTTCGTACATAGAGTTTCTGGAGGCAAGCCATTTCGGAAGTGGATGCCGCTCCTGCTTCCAGAGTGGTATATTATGTAGCCGTAAAAGTACAGTGAGGTTCTGATACATGCTGAGACATGGATGAAGAGAGTACGCTACGTGAAAGAAGTCATGCACCAGAAAGTGCAAGACCATGCTTTTAAGAAATATATAGCAGACAATAGAATATATATATATATATATATATATAACAGACAATAGAATAGAGGTGTGATAGGGCGGAGGCAGGGAGGATGGGGAGGTGTTGTTTAATGGGTACAGAAATTCTGTTTGCGATGATGTAAAAGATCTGGGAACAGATAATACTGCTGGTTATACAATATCGCAAATGTATTTAAAGTTAATGAATTGTACGTTCAAAATGGTTAAAATGGTAAAGATTATGCTATCCACATTTTACCAATGTAATAAAATGTAACTAATGGCCAGACTTACTGGGTCAACAGAAACTGGCAGAACCCTTGAGAGTATGACCTGTCGTCACTTTCTAAACCTGAAATAAAGCTCACAACCACAGCTCAGGCTGGAGACTAAGGTGCACCTGATCCAGGCTATAGTCTTTGCAATTACGTGCTATGCATTGGAGAGTTGGACAGTGAATAGGGATGATAGAAAGAGAATTGATGCCTTTGAGCTGTGGTGCTGGAGAAGAGTGTTGAATATACCATGGAGAACAAACAGGTTTGTCCTAGATAGGGTGAAGCCAGAATGTTCCCTAGAGTCAAGGATTCTGAAGCTTCGTCTGACATACTTTGGGCATGTTACAAGGAGGGACAGGTCCTTGGAGAGGGACATCATGTTTGGGAGAGTGGAGGAACAGCACAGGAGAGGAAGATCCCCGATGAGATGGATCAATTCTGTGAGTGGAGTGGTGGGAATAAGTGTGTTTGAGACAGCAAGGTTGGCACAGGATAGAACAGCGTTTAAGTCTCTTGTACATAGGGTCGCTATGAGTCACAAATGACTCGATGGCAATAGCAACAACAACAACAACAACAACAACAACCACAGCTCAACTTTCAACCAAAAAAGAGTCTACAAGGTGAAAAACAGGTCTATAAGGTGAGCAAGAAACACTGGAGAGACACTCACTCTCTACAACACTAAAGTGAATAAGCCCAAGAGCAGAGGGCAGGCAGAGGTAGAATGAGGGTGCAATGAAAGAACCATAGAGGGGAGGTGCAGAGAGGGTTGTTATATTGTGGGCATAGAACAAAATACGTATGAGTGCAAAGTCACTTTACTTTATAAACTTTATCTCAAATCAGAATGGAAAACCCCTACAGAAACAAAACCAGAACTATATTCATCACTTAGCCGCACCTTTCGGCATTCCCTGTTTGTTTGTTTGTTTGTTTGTTTGTTTTGGCATTCCCTGACATCTCGAGCCTCAAGTGCTGATGTTGCTAGGGACAACAAGGCTGTCAGTCACATTCTCTAATTTAGCACATAACTCTCCCACAGTGTTCTCAACGACTCTCTCTCACATTGCTGTTGGGTCAGAACTGAAACCTCTAGTGGGTTTCCAAGGTTTGCTTATAAGTAAACAGCTTGTCCATCCTTCTTCCAAGAAGCAGCCAAGGGATCTGAATCACCAGAGAACGGTCACTGGATTAGTAGCAGCTCTCTCTGGGGACCACGGCACCAGAGCACCCTGATTTCAATTAAGGGGCGGTTGTGGTGATGGGACCTTGTAGGCAGGGCCTCAGAGCACACGAGCTGAGATGACTTGTGAAGTGTACTTGTTAGGGTCTCAAGAATGATAACTCTCTCCATAGAATCAGCAAGTCCTATTCCTGTGGTGGCACAAGTTCACCTGCAACCTAAAACATCAGTTCTTTGAACCTACCTTACAGCTTGGAGAACAATTCTTTTTTTTTTTAATTTTAAAAATTTTTGTAAAATTTCTTTTTCTTTTTAATGTGGTGTACTGTCAAATTGGATCCAACTAGCACAGGAGGAATTTGCCCCTTCTCCAGTGGAACATATGGTGGATTCAAACCACGCACCTTCAGGATTGCAGTTTCAATTCTTTGGGCTGAAATTTGAAGTGACGAAAATGGGTTTGTTTGTTTGTTTGTTTGTTTGTGGTGGTGGTGGTTTTTTATATTTTGTTTGCTTAGGAACTAAAGTGCTTACAATTTCATAACTACTCAAAGTAATGAGAGAATAAAGCTTATATTTCCTTTCTCGATGTTAACACTAAAGACCAAGAGAACACACACACACACACACACACACATACACACACACACACACACACACACACACACACACCAGTGTTTACCTGTCCTGCCGAGCAGCCTGGGGGAACAGTCTCAAGATCTCTGTATGGAGGGGCTCCAGCTGTTCAGGGGTCTTCACCTTCATCTCCAGCAGGTAGTCTTTGCCAAATTTGCTTTTCAGGTGTTGGATGGGACCGATGCACCTGGGGGCCGGATGAGGAAGAGGCCATAGCAGGAAGGAGAACAAGACCCAGGATCAGAAAGAGGACCAACATCAGAGGCTAACACAGCTGGTAGGTTCTCAGTGCTAGCGGCAGCTTCCACTGCCCCCAGAGACCCCTTCCTCTCACAGGAAACCTCCCCCAGTCCTGCTTCCAGGGGCTAAGGGTGGGCTTTGGCCAGGGACCCACCTGAGCCTCCCAGACACCATGATGGCCACGCGGTCACACACAGCCTCGGCCTCGGCCATGTAGTGGGTGGTGAGGATGGCTCCACACTCTGAGTTTCTGACGCTGGCTCGGATCGCCTGCCTGAATGTATGGTTAGAGAAAAATGCTAAACATCAGGAATGCTCAAAATACTCTGCAAATACACACAGACAGACAGACAGACAGACACACACACACAGCTATAGATATTGTCGTCACTTGCTGTCAAATCGAGTACAACTCTTACTGACCCTACAGTAACAGATCTGAGCCCTGTCCTCTTCTGTGCCATCTTCCCAATCTGAGCCCATTGCTTTAGTCACTATGCCCATCCATCTCACTGAGGGTCTTTCTCTCCTTTACTGATATTCCACCTTTCCAAGCATAATGTTGCTTATTTCCAAGGAACAGTCCCTCTTAATAATAGGCACATGTGAGGCTAAGCTTTGCCACCGTTGCCTCTAGGGAGTAATCTGGCTGCACTTTCACCAAGACATATCTATTTGTTCTTTTGGTAGTCCTTTCTCTGTCTAGTCTGACTGAATTCACTAAGTTTTTAAATGTGTCATGTAAAATGTTCTTCAAGTATATATGCCCATACATATCTATACCTCTCTCTCCTCTTTTTATTACTTTTATTATTCTATTAATAAATGTAAAACACAGATATATAGATGCATATATAAGTGTGTATGTGTGTGTATACATACTTAAAGAACATTTTACACGGCACATCTAAAAACTTACTGAATTCTGATTAGACAGGGAAAGGATAATTTTTATTTGAGAGGTTATAATCCTGGAACTAACTAAACCTGGTTATTTAGGTAAAATATTTAGAATTGAGAACATACACCGAAATAAAGTTTGGAAAGAATATTGTATAAAGAAGTTTTAGGGGGGAAAAAACTTTGAATTTCAAGATGCGAGTGAAAAGAAAATGGGAATGGAGAAAAACTAACAACAACAATAAAATAATTCCCTAAAATTAAAAATTGACAGATTTCAGACACTTCCTAAGATTTTTAGATCATTTTGGGGACATAGGCTTTTCTTTTCATTTTAATGCTCCAGGGGAACTGAGCACTGGGTGCTACTGAGAGAGGATTTCTTGCTTGATATGCTTGTAGTGGCAGGGATGGTGGGATTTAATCTCAAATATTTCAGGTATGTTGTCAGAATGGACCAGTCCTTGGAAAAAGACATCCTACTAGGACTGGTGGAGGGTCAGAGAAAGAGAGGAAGACTCTCAACAACGTGGATTGACACAGTGACTGTAACTGGAGGAAGTGTATTGTGGTTCCCCACCCAGCACCCCGCTCACTTAGCTCAAGGCCTGATTGTGACTCAAGGAAGTCTAACAATGTCAATGTTAGCAAGGCTACCAGACAGCCAGAGCCTAAATCGGGCCATGGGTCCAATCAGACCCCCAAATTCCTGAGTCAACTACCATCCCCACTAAATCTTAAGGGCTCCTAAAGAAGGAGACTGCCTTTGCCTGTTTGTCATTCCAATCCTCTCTGTATGTGGTCACCTGGCATTCCTCTCTCAGATTTGCTTAATAAAAGCCTGTGCCTTACTCCAGACCAATTTCTTCTTCCTCCAGTGTGTTCGTTCTCTCTCTCTCTCTCCCTCCCTCTCTCTCTCCCTCCCCGCAAGACGCAAGACTCAGAGCTGTTGTTTACAAGGTCACTATGAGTTGTAGTCTACTCAATGCATTGAACAACAGCGGCAATCTTAGAATGTTTTGGTTAAGTATAGAAGTGTACCATGCATACCCAGAAGGTCTATGGAGAAAACAGAATTCCTAGAGTATTAAATTCTTAGGCTATATCATTTCTCCTTCACGAAAACTGGTTGCGATGATTTTGTCCCCAATAACAATACCTTACTGCTATTATGGGTTTCTTAACACTTCGCAAGTGAAGACAACTTTTGAAAGTAAATTGTAATGAGATCATCGTAGTCACTTGGAGTTTGCATTACTTTCTTATGACTGCAGTCGTGTTCCTGCTAACTGTTGCCTGAAACAATCACTATTTAGCCTCTCGCGGTTTGGGCGGGCAGAAGCCTTGACTCTTGGTTTTGTGGAGACTGCGCCTGCACTGCAGGTCCTCTGAGTGAGATTATTCTTTGCCTCCTCCAGCTTCTAGTGGTCTCTGGCATCCCTTGGCTTGTGGCTGCCTCCCTCAAAAAGACAATACCACCGTGATCACATTGCCGCCTCTTCTGTCATTCACATGACAGACCACTAACCAAAAGGTTAACAGTTTGAGTCTACCAACTGCTCCGTGAGAGAAGCTTGGGCAGTTTTCTCCTGTAGACTTTTACAGACTTGAAAACTCAATGGATGGTTGCTAGGAGCGAGAACTGGGAGCATCTTTTGGCGTTTTCTTGCTTGGAAAAGGTGGAGTAGCATGATACATGTTGGACTGTCAAGCAAAACATGCAAAGTTGAACTCACTAGCCATTCCGCGGGAGAAACATAGGCAGCCTTCTTCCATGAAGATTTGCCATTGTGACTGATTGCCTTCGCATCGAGCGTGACTCATAGTGACCCTATGAACAAAAGGCCTGAAGCCTTTCTCTAACTATAAACATTTATCAAAGTTCAGAGAGTTTCTAGAGGCATGTTAATGAAGAAGTGGATGCCAGTCTTGCTTCCAACCATAAAGATCGTCAGCCTTGGAAATCTGACAGAGGGTCTCCAGGAATTGAAACAGGCTTAGTGGAAGGGGGATTAGTTTTAGTTTTGGGTTTTTTCCCCCCTATTGTGAAGACACTTGTGATTAGATAATACAGCCTTACTTCTTAACCCTCCCCAAAAATCCTTCACTTAATTACATCTGCTGACTTCTTTCCAAAGAAGGCTATCATTCACAGGTCCAGAGATTAGGACACGATGTTCAGGTGCAGAGATTAGGACACGATGTTTTTATTATGGAGGGCACTATTCCACTCACAGGAGAGTTACCACAAATAATCGAAACTCTCATGTGGCTTTCCTCACCACATCTGCTGCTGCCCTTCAGGGTCCATCCCCGTGGTCGGCTCGTCCAGCAGCATCACCTCCGGGGCCCCCAGGATGCTCAGCACGAAGCATAGCTGGAAGGAGAGGGGCAGCATCAGGACCCGTCTGAGCCACATTCGGGGTCAACCTGAGCCCCGCACGTACCTTCCTCTTTAAACCCTCCGGTAAGGTCTTCACAGATGCTTTCAGATGCTCTTGTAGCTTGAAGGCATCCACTAACCTGATTTAAAAAGATATTTTAAAAAGCATGAATCCATGGAATGTTTACATGGAATTTTAAAAAGCATGAATCTTCATTTCCCTGAACAACGGGGGAGAAATGTATATGGGAGAATGTGCAAATCAGAACAAAAGCACCAGGGCAGGAATTTTTAGAGAGAAGGCAGAGTGGTTGCAGCATTGAGGCTTCCTAGGATGCTTTACCGCCCTGTCCTTGTTGTCAGACTCAGAGTTTAAATGATTTGTTTCTGTACTAAAAATAGTCAATAGGCTTTTTCAATAAATGTGAGAGAAACTGACAACAGAATAGGATTGCATTCCTATTTATTTGTAGAGGTTCTTACTCAACTCCACAAACAGGGGCCACACATTAGAGTCTCTATCCTTTAATTTGAGGGGAACATTATTACTATATCATATTCCCACCATATGTAGGGTACTGCCCCCCCAACACACATAACAAGTGTAGCTCCCCCGTGTACCGAGTGATGGCGGCCTCTGCGTCTCCTCTCTTCAGTCCCTTCACAGCCGAGTATACCTCCAGGTGCTGCCTCACAGTCAGGTTGGACCACAGGGTGTTCTCTTGCGGACAGTACCCCAGGAATCTAATGGCGTCTTCTTTGTTGCCACCTTTCAAAATCACCTACACAAAGAGTCCATGCTAAGATTGTTTTCCCCCAAATTATATGTGTGTATATGCGTCTCAGGGATACTCTCTTCTTCACAGACAGGTGGTCACAGTGAAAAAGAAGTCATTATTTGGTCCAAAACCATTTATTATTGCAATGCCCTATATCTCACATTGCTGTACTCTTCCATTATAACAGAGCTCATTACCAATGCCATTGTCATTGCCAAATCCAGCATTATTTATTGGTTGCCCATTGTTTGACTTCACTCTCTAAGCCAATAATTCAAGGAGGGATTTCATTTGCCCATTGACAAACTGTTTGTAAATTTAGGAACTGTGTCATAAATTTCTTGTGAGGATTCAATCAAAGTGACTGTCAAGCATTAAAGCATTATTAATCTTTCCACTTCCACATACTTCACCCAGGAGGAGACATTAAGAAATGTCTGGACATTATTAAAAAAAAAAAGAAAAAAGAAATGTCTGGAGATATGTTGGTTGTTGCAGTTGGTGGAGGGGATTATGAGTGTTTTATGTGAAATAAAGGAGAAAATCAGCAAAAAAGAGGAAGAATTTCCATGAGATGGATTGGAACAATGGCTGGGACAATGGGTTCAAGGCCAGTGATTTAAACTATAGCTTCACTATGGACATCAGGAAGACAAAAATCCACATCACTGGACCCACAAGTAACATTATAATAGATGGAGACAAGAGTGAAACTTTCAATGATTTAATCTTACTTGGATCCACAACCAACATCCTTGGTACTAGCAGTCAAGATCAAGTGACATCTTGCATTGGACAGTTCTACTGTCAGGAACCTCTCCAAATTATTGGTGAGCAATAAAGTCAGCTGAAGACTAAGGTGTGCCTTTTTCAGGTGGTGGTCTTTTCAATCACTCGTTATGCATATAAGAGCTAGACAATAAGGATGACAGAAGAATTGGTTCCTTTGAGTTGTGGTGTTGGAGGAGAGCACTGAATAGCCTATGGATTGTCAAAAGAACAAACTGAGAAGTCTTGGGAAAAGTGCAACCAGAGGGCTCTTCGGAGGCAAGGATGGCCTTGTATCCAAAGTACGTGTGTATCCAAGTACGTGAGATTTGTCTCACATACTTTGGGCATATTTCTAGGATAGGCTATTCCTTGGAAAAGCTTTGGAAAGGTAGAGGGTCAGCAAAAGATAGAAAGACCCTCTATGAGACTTGACAGAGTGACTGCAGCAATGGGCTCAAATCAGAGATGAGAATGGCACAGATTAGGACAGGGTTCAGATCTGTTGTTCATTGTGTGTTATGAGTCATACTCAATTCAGCAGCACCTAACAATACCACAGAGTGGCACGGTATTTCATTCTGGTGCACACAGTATCCTTGACCTGGAACTAATCCCATAGCATCTAAGAACAATAACGAAAGTGTGATTGTTGCTGCTGTTATGTAGTATCGATCTGACTATAACTCACAGTGGCTCTATCATTGTTCAACGCATAGGCCAACTCCCCACTGGGAAAAACTAGTAGCCATTGTCTCTTAACGTCAATAGTGCTCTTTCTGAGAAACCCTGATATAAAAGAAAAAGTCAAGTGCACTTAATCTGTCAGAATCATTGAAAGAGAGGAAGACCATTGCCAAGATGGATCAACACAGTGACTGTCTCAATGCTCACGTATGTCAGAGATGATGGGGATGGCACAAGATAGGGCCAGGTGCAGATTCCTTGTTCATAGGGTCGCTATGAGTTGCGGACAACTTGATGGCACTTAACAACAACAGCAATGTAGACTCAGTATTTGCTATATGCTTTTTTAATTATGTTATCTTTACAATAGCTCTGAGTTGGGTATAGTTGTTATCATTCTCATTTTAACCTAAAGAAAACTGAGTCTAATTCCATTAATGGTTGTTGAGACAGCATCAGCACATAGCTGACTCTCTGCTTGTTACCACTGTAAGGTCTTTTGCGGCAGATTTACTTAATGCAACGTCACCTTTGATTTCCTGAATGCTGCTTTCACAGGCATTAACTGTGGATATAAGCAAAAGGAACTCTTTCACAACTTCAGTATTTGCTCTGTGTATCATGGTGCTGGTTCTGGGTCCAGTTGTGAGGCGTTTTGTTTTCTTGATGTTGAGATACAATCCAAAAAGAGGCTGTAGTCTTTGTTTCTCATAGATAGGTGCTTCAAGTCCGGTGCTTTCAGCAAACAACATTATCATACGTATATTGCAGGCTGTTAATGAGTCTTCCTGCACATTTGATGTATCGTTCTTCTCTATTCAGTCCAGTTCCTCAGATTATTGGCTCAGCATATCAATTGAAAGAGTAGTGAAAAGATACATCCATAATGCACACTTCTCTTGATTTTCAATGATGCAGTATCCTCTTGCTTTGTTCAAAGCTTTCACATGACTACACGTAAGTGTTTATGGAACAACACCATGTAAATAATCTCTTTTCATCAAATAACTATGTTTTTGGCATTAAATAGACACAATTTTAATTAATAGTCTTAATTTTGCACATATATCTTAGTGCTTAATAAGAGAATCATCCATGTCTTTTTAAGATGATAATCATTATTTATAGATTGCAATCAGTATTAATTTATCATGCAGTTATTATTAATTGACTATGAACTAGACAGTAACATTCACTGCCATGGTCATGTGTGTTTTACTGACCTGCCCTGCGGTTGGTTTTGTATCTCCGGTTATCATCTTAATAGTTGTGCTTTTACCAGCTCCATTGTGGCCTAGCAGCCCAATGACTTCACCTAAAAGGAACAGATACAACTGGAATTGTAATTTCAATAACAAAATGTGGACAAAAGTTTGCATTCAAGGGTTCACAAGGTGCCAAGAACCAAGTCCAATGTGTATAAGCATCTATAGTTCCATTTATTATTCTCACATCTACACGTGTTCCTCACACCTTAAAAAATGATTATTAACTTCATTTTGTAGGTGAAGAAACTCAGGCTTCAGTAGGATGACTAGTTCAAGATCATGCAGCCTGTTAAGGCTGAACAGAATTTGGAAACCAATCGTAATTCCAGGATCCTTTGCCTCTCAGCAACACTTCCACAACATGTGTTATTTGTTAGCAGTGAAGAACGTACTGCCCTTATCCTGCTCTGCCAGTCCTCCTCCGTGAAGTACACTTGGTCAGAAATGAGTTCGGTCACTCCTGTAAAGGACCCGGGGTGGTGGGATGATCAAACATCTGCTAACCAAAAGATTGCTGGTGCTGTGAGGAAGATGTGACAGCTTCTGTAAAGATTTACAGCCTTGGAAATCTACTCTGAGGTCCTAGAGGGTCACCAAGAGTTGGAATCAACTCAATGACCATGGGTAGAACTATATACTATCTTTCTTAATTAAAAATATTATAGATTTAGATGCAATTCTCTATTCAGAAAAAAAAAACCCAACAAAACCCAAACCACAACAACAACACAATCCCACTTCAGTTAGAAACTCAGGCTTGTCCCTGAAACCCACAGCGTCCCTTTTCAGCAGGAAGTAGCTAAGAGAATACGCCGTCCCCTTTTCCTTATGACTCAGGGTGAAGTCTCTCTCAGGGAGGAGTGATAGGGAATGGCAAAGGACACACTGACAAAGGAGATTAATCAGAACTGGCTTTGACAAGCACTGTGGCATTTGGACAAGAACAAACTGGGAGGAGGGTAGAGAGAATAGTGCAACAATGAATGAATGGAAACCCAAAATCTCTGTAAATGTTTATGAAAATTAATAAAATATAATTATAGGAAAAAAAACAAACAAAAAGAAAGAAACTCAGGCTTGTTAAGTTGAATGACTTAATCTTAGTCAGCTGGTAGTCTGGATGCTTTTCGTCTTTCTTGACAAAGAGCCCCATCTTTGAGCTGCGGTGCTGGACAAGAGCATTGAATATATTATAGACTGCCAGGAGAACAAACAGGTTCACCCTGGAGAGAGTGCAACTGGGCTGCTCCTTGGAGGCAAGGATTCTGAAGTTCTTTTCACATATTTTGGACACGTTGCAAAGAGGAACCAGTTCTCGGAGAGGGACATCATCGTTGGGAGGGTAGAGGGACAGTGCAAGACAGGAAGATCCTTGATGAGATGGATTAATCCAGTGACTAGGGTAATGAGGGAAGGTGTGTCAGAGACGGTGAGGTTGGCACAGGATACAGTAGGGTTTCGGGCTACTGTACATAGGGTCGCTATGAATAGTAAGTGATTCGACGGCACATAACAACAACAATCCCTTCTAAAGACTTAATCTTCAGAGTTTAGGGATGGTCTACTAGCTGAAGTACAATTTCTCACCTTTTTTAACACAGAAAGAGACATTTCTTGTGGCCAATTTCTTCTTTTTCTTCGCACAGCAATTTTTCCGTCTGCGTTCATATTCCTTCCGTAGACAGCTGGCAATGATGACTGGTTTCTGTGAAGACAAGAAATGAGAAATGAGGCTTTGTTATCCCTTGACTTGAGAATTCTCAGCACTCTCCCCAGACCTCTTCACATTCAAAAATCTCAAGTAAAGATAGTTCTTCCCTAAGAGATCTGGAGGACTTGAAATGACAGGGTAATGGTGGGCATAATTCAATGAGGATTATGTTTATAAAACAATGTATATAATGGTTGTATGAGACACATGTGAATGAAAGAAAGTATGAAACACAAGGTATACAAATATTGTATGCAAAGCAATATAAAACAACAATTTTAAAAATGAGAAAGTCCTTCCCTAAATCAGTTTTCATGCAGTGGACTCCAGCTCTTGCTGACCCCTTGCATATCAGAATACAGTTAGTTGTCCTTCAATGATGAATTTTTTGAGAGCAGATTGCCACACCTTTCTTCCAAGGCACTTGTGGATGAACCAGTGGGTAGAACCTTTTGTTTACTATGTCGACCAATCGTTCCACCCAGCAGTTCTTATTTTCAAACAGGCTCTCCCAGTTTATATCCACCCTTGCAGTTAGAAGAGAATTTACACTGTGTCATACAATTTAGACAAGCATACTCTTCTTTAGAGAATAGAAAAAAAGGAATTCACCAAACTCTCGGTCTGTCAAGACACATACACGTTCCTAAAATAAAATAATAGTTTGGCTTAGGTAGTGAAAACAGTCTGCTTTAAGAATGGTGCTCTTTTAAGATCTATCTCATTAAAATAACAATGTGACTTTTTCGAAGGAATCACATTGGTATTAGGAATAGAAAAGAGTAGGCATTTAGGGGGCAGTGGATTTATGTTTATGGGAGGAACAACCTGGAAAAGGAGAGTTGTACATGCAGAAATTGTGAACTGATCTGTGCTGTGCTGTGTATAGTCTCAGGAAGAACAATACAAGGAAAATGAATTTCTATTTAAAAAGATATACATCTAAAAATTACTATTTAAAAGTAAAAAATTACTATTTAAAAAGATACGTAGGATGGATTGACAAAATGTAACAACAGGGTCAAGTATACTTGAGATCATAAGCATGCCACAGATAGGGCAACATTGAGATCTGTGGTTCACAGGCTCACTACGTCAACAACATGCACAGAAATGCATGCACACATACACAAATGTGCATAAACCATACCTTGAACTAAATCTCTGCTCTGAATTCTTTAGTCCCGATATATGTTTTATACTGTTTAGCTGTACTTACGAAAATTGTTATTGAAAAAGAAGTGAATGAGTTTTTGTGTGAATGATGGACATCATTTATCCACTGCTTCGTTGTTTTTTGGTTTTTGGAGGTTTTTTTGTACCCCCTGCTGGCATCATGTGATTCTTGCTGGGCTGTTAAAAGGCCAGCAGTTCAAACCCACCAATCATTCTGTGGAAAAAAGACGAAGTCGCCTCTCCAATTAAACTGTATGGCTTCAGAAACCCAACGGAAGGAAGGCTGCAATGGTTGGGAATGGACTCTGTGGCAGGGGGCTTGGGGTTTTCCTTTTTTTTTTTAATTTTTTATTTCCATTCCTTCATTGTTGCACTTTTCTCCCTGCCCACCCCTCCCCCCAGTTTGCTCTTCTCTTTGAAAAGTAAAAGAAAAATCCTTTCATTGTTATACAATCCTTCCCCCCCAAGTCCACTCCACTGTTCAGCCTTCGTTCTGGACTCCTGTTATGACAATAATACCTAATTACATATACCTTTTAAACAGTTTTCTCCCTCATCTGTTTCAATGCAGTATACATTATTTATCCCATCTTTTTCAGTCTCCCCTCAACCCAATGTCAGTCCCATTTTACAGCAGTTACAAATACTATGCAGTATTTGTCCTTTTGTGACTGAGAAATTTCACTCAGCGTAATGTCTTCCAGGATCACCCATTTTGAATAGTATTTCATGAGTTCCTTGTTTTTCAATGCAGTATAGTATTCCATTGTGTGAATATCCCAGAGCTTCTCTAACCATTCAATTGTTGATGGGCATTTAGGTTGTTTCCAACTCCTTGCTATTGTGAACAAAGCCACGATAAACATGGATGCGAGGCTTGGTTTTTTGTGTTTACACCCAACAAGGGAAGTGCAACCACGTCTTCCTTAAAGAAAAAGATGGGAAATAGTCCTTGAAAAAGTTATGATACTGGAAAAGGTGAAGGGTCAGCAAAAGGGAGGGAGATTCTAAAGAAGACAGATTGACCCAGTGACTGTAACAATCAGCTTGAGTTGTGTCAGAGATGGTGCGGATAGTAGGGTGCGGATCTGTTGTTTACAGGGTCACTGGGAGTCTGTCACCTCAATGGCACTTAGCAACCATAAGAAAGTGAAATAATGATATTATCTTATTTTTAAATTCATATTATCAAATTGACCACATAAGCTAACAGAGTTATTTTCCGAAGGGCATGCGTTTGAATTCTACCTCATCAAAGTCTGGGGCAGACACAGCACTTGCTGTTCTCCTTCTTTCCATCTGGACATCTTCATCCTCTCCCTCTGGCTCTTCTGGGTTTGGAAAAATCTTATTAATTCTTGGAGAAATCCTAAAAAATCAGAACAGTGTGAAAAATAACACATCTGCGGCTGAAAGCATAGTAGCAAAAAGAACGTCTTTCTGGTATACTCTTAACCATTCTATAGGGAGATGGGAATATGAGCACAGCATAGCTTATCTTCTACTAAGCCCTGTCTGCCTTTCCAAGATCCTCATTTCCTAGGTTCTTACACTGGTCCTAATTCTCCGCTACCTTTATTTTTTTTAATCCCACTTATTTAAAGTGGTTTTCTTTTTCAAATAATAAGCTGCTACACATTATCTGGCAAAGGGATTCTGGGACTTAAACCACCATCTTTTTTTCCTGTTGTTAACGGCTATTGAGTCAACTCCCAACAATCTGGGACCCCACGCAGAGCAAGCTCCAAATGTGATGATCCCACAGAGATTTTATTGGCTGATATTTGGAAGCAGATTGCCAGGCCTTTCTTTCTTGCCTATTTTGGTATGAAATATTTGCTGAAATCTGTTGAGCATCACAGCAACATGGAAGCCTGCACTGTCAGACAGATGGGGTCACTGGACTTGAGAGACATCAGTCAGGACTGGACGTTGGGTCTCCACCACCAGAATAATTCTTATTTTTTCACTGATACTAATCTAATTCTGTCTGTCATCATCTCTACCACCAATCACTACTGAATGCCAGCTCTCCCTCTCATTCCACCTCACATTAATGCTGACAATTTATTTCCTAAAACCCAGTTAACTCCTCATTCTCCTGTTCTAGCGCATCTATTAGTCTTGAACTTGATTCCAATTTTATTAGGTAGAGAGGTGTTCGAAGAATCCTTTTGCTATGTTTTTCATTATGTAGTTTGGAAAAACCTTTCCAACACTCTCCTTTCTCAAGATTATAAATTTCTGGCTTCCATTTGATTTTGCATTATCCTCTAATACAAGCCTTTCCATCTTTTCCAGCTGCTTCTTAAATGCCTTGGAAATGTCAGCCTTCAGATTCTGCTTCTTTCTTGCTCTGAGTAAATACTTATTTACTCACTTGCCGAGCTACACGAACCCAGCTCAATACTCCACAGATTCTATTATTTTCATGTCATTTTCACTTATTATGTCAGTGGAATTACGGTCCATTTCAGTTTTTCAGTTCCCTCTGTATGTGATTTACTTCTGTAAGTAGATTGCAGGCTCATTAAAGTCTCGTGACTAATAATGACTCTGTATTTCACAAGTGCCTTAAACATAGTCTGATGTAGCACTATATTACTTGATGAATTTAAGCCCACTAATGCGTCCCAAACAGTTAATATGAAAAGGAAACATGAAATTCTATTTGAAGTTTCTTAACCTGAATACAGGATCTTTTCTCATAAGTTTCTTTTTCAAGTTCTTTTCCAGACACCGTAGAATAAGAAGGAAAATGAATAAATGAAGGTAGGGCTAGAGAAAAAGAAAGACATCATATTAGCACCAACATAATGCTTATTTCAACATCAAGGCTGATTTAAGGTGTTTGATAATATATGTTGTTGTTGTTGTTGTTGTTGTTGTTGTTGTTGTTGTTGTTATGTGCTGTCGAGTCACCTGTTGATAATATGTATATACTAGATTTAAGAACATTTTTCACAAGTTTGAATGACAATGTAGTTAAATCTATAAAATTTTCAAAATTAACATCATTGCTATTCGGAAAAAGCGATACTCAGGTCGTTAGAAATTTGTAATTCACCTAAGGGATGTGACCAACAAGCAGAGCCAAGGAAGAGGAAATAGAAGATTTTTACCAACTTTTACAGTCGAGATTGATCAAACATGCAATCAAGATGCACTGATAATAATGGGTGACAGGAATGCAAAAGTTGGGAATACAGAAGAAGATTCAGTAGTTGTAAAACATGGACTCGGTGACAGAAATGGAGCTGGAGAGAGGATGATTGAATTTTGCACAATCAACAATGTATTCATTGCAAATACGTTTTTAAAGAGATATAAATGCAGGTTATATACATGAATTTCCCCTGATGGTATGCATAGGAATCAAATTGATTACATTTGCGGAAAGAACCACTGGAGAAGCTCAATATCAGCTGTGAAAACTAGGCCAGGATTTGATTGCTCAACAGACCACCAACTACTCATATGCAAGTTCAAGCTGAAGCTAAGGAAAATTAAACCAAGTCCATGGGAACCAAAATATGACTTTGAGTCTATCTCTCCTAAATTTCAGAATCAGCTCAGGAACAGACAAATTGTGGGAGGATATCAAGGGTATCATCCAGGAAGAGTGCAAACGGTCATTGCAAAGACAGAAGAGGAAGAGAAGACCAAAATGGATGTCAGAAGAGACTCTGAAAATTGAAAACTGGAGCACAGAGAAGCCAAAGCAGAGGGACGAATTCAAGATACTGAAGAGTTGAATAGAAAATTTCAAAAGGCAGCACGGGATGACAAAGTAAAATATTACAATGAAATGTGCAAGGAGTTGGAGTCAGAAAATCAAAAGGGCCGAACTCGCTCAGCATTTCTTAAACTCAAGGAACTGAAGAACAAATTCAAACCTCGAGTTGCTACAATCAAGGATGCTTTAGGCAGAATGTTAAATGATCCAGGAAGTATTAAAAGAAGATGGAAAGAATATACTGAGTCACTGTATCAAAAGGAATTGGAATACACAGAAGAATTTCATGAAACAACATATGAGCAAGAGCCTATGGTGATGAAGGAAGAGTTCAAGCTGCTTTGAAGGAAATGGCAAAAAATAAGGCTCCAGGAATAGATGGTATACCAATTGACATGTTTCAGTTAACAGATGCTGCCATGGACGTGCTCACCAAGCTGTGCCAAGAAATCTGGAGAACGACCACTTGGCCAACTGACTGGAAGAGATCGATATTTGTTCCTATCCCAAAGAAAGGCGACCCAACCGAATGTGGAAACTACAGAACAATCTCACTGATTTTACATGCAAGCAAGATTTTACTGAAGATTATCCAAAAATGACTGGAACAACACATCAGCAGAGAACTTCGGAAGTCCAGGCTGGGTTTAGAAGGGGTCGTGGTACTAGTGATATTGTAGCTGATGTTAGATGGATCTTAGCTGAAAGCAGGGAATACCAGAGGAATGTCTATTTGTGTTTCATTGACTATGCAAAGGCATTTGACTGTGTGGATAATAACAAACTGTGGCTGACTCTGATAAGAACGGGAATCCCAGAACACTTGATAGTGCTAATGAGAAACCTATACTTGGACCAAGAGGCAGTTTTCAGAACAGAGCAAGGAAATATTGCATGGCTCAAAATTGGAAAGGGCGTACACCAGGGATGTGTCCTGTCTCCATACCCTTTCAACCTGTATGCAGAACAGATTATCCGGGAGGCTGGGCTCTAGGAGGAGAAATATGGGGTCAAGATTAGTGGAAGATCTATCAACAATCTGCGTTATGCAGATGATACAACCCTGATTGGTGAAACTGAGGAGGGCCTGAAGCGCTTGCTGCAGAGGGTCAAGGACTGTAGCCTCCAATATGGGTTGAGGCTCAATGTCAAGAAGACAAATATTCTCACCACTGGACCAATTGGCAGCATCAGGATGGATGTTGAAGAGATTGAGATTGTTCACAGCTTCAGTTTGCTTGGCTCCATGGTCAACACTCTCGGCACCAGTATCCAGGAAATTAGAAGACGTATTGGAAAAGTCTACTGTTAGGGACCTCTCCAAAGTACTGAAGAGCAATGGTGTCTCTCTGGAGACTAAGGTGCATCTGATACAGGCCATGGTCTTTGCTATCACTTGTTATGCACCAGAGAGTTGGACAATGACTAAGGAGGGTAGAAGGAGAATTGATGCTTTTGAGCTGTGGTGCTGGAGAAGAGTATTGAGGGTACCATGGACTGCTAGGAAAACACACAGATTCATCCTGGAAAGGGTCAAACTGGGCTGCTCCTTGGAGGCAAGGATTCTGAGGCTCCGTCTAACATACTTTGGACATGTTGCGAGGAGGGACAGGGCCTTGGAGAAAGACATCATGCTTGGGAGGGTGGAGGGACAGCACAGGAGAGGAAGGCCCTCTATGAGGTGGATTGATTCAGTGACTGGGGTAATCGGGATGGGTGTATCGGAGACGGTGTGATTGACACAGGATAGAGCAGAGTATAGGGATGTTGTACATAGGGTCACTATGAGTCGCAAGCGACTCGATGGCGCATAACAACAACAACCACAAAGGGATGTGATAAAACCATCATTAACAATAGTGTTTCAGACTTTAAAGTCAGTGTGTGTGTGTGTGTGTGTGTGTGTGTGTGTGAGAACACACATCTGCACTTGCACATGATTGCCACTTCAGGTGTTCTGAATGCCCAAACCTTTTTAAATTCACATAATTATCAGAACTCAATATATGTAACACAAATAGTATGTCCCTTTTGCAAAATATTTGAGAAAAGGATTTCTTACTATTAGCAAGGCTAGCAATGAAGGTCCTAAATAATCTTCTGAGTCCGAAGATAGCTGTAAAATAAGAATGGGAGTTTAGATGAACCTCAATCTTCTACCAAGCTTTTAATCAGTCATTTAACATAAAAGGGGAACCTTACTTGGGAAAGACAGGGAAGCATTATGCTAAGTGAACCAACTCAGTCTCCAAAGGGCAAATACAGCATAAGATCATTATTGTAGAATGCGTTTGAGGATCTAAGGGGGGGGGGGGGGGCTGAAGGGTGAGGATGCGTGGGGTTGGGGGCTAGTTAATCACACAATAGCAAAATGTGATGGGTGGAGGGAGGGGTCAGGTAAAGGAAATGAGAAAGATCCAGTGTGATAAACAATGTATATGAACTTCGTAAGTAAACCAGTATAAAATAAAAGTTTTATTTTAAATCAAAAAAGATAAAAATGGAAACCTTCATTTAAGATAACTCAATGTTCACCAAATAACAATGTGACCCTCCTACAAACTTCTCTCTTGTGTACTGTTGTTGCTAGATGTCACTTAGTACGACTCACAGCGACCCTGTGAACAATAAAGCGGAACCCTGTCCTATCCTTTTCCACATCCTCAGAATTTCTGACACGCTGGAGCCCACGGCTGCGTCACTGTGTCCATCCGTCTTGTCAAGGGTCTTCCTCTCTTACTGACCCTCCATCTTTATAAGCATGATGTCGCTTCCTGAGGAATAACCTCACCTAGCAACATGCCCAAAGTGAAAGAGGTGAAGCTTCCACATCTTTGCCTCCCAGGACTTTTCTGGATGTCAGGTAACATAAATGTCTGACAGCGTAATGTCTTCCTTGTTCCCCAGGACTCTCACTGGACCATTAAACTATGTCTGCCTGCACACTGAGATGGCTTTACATGCACTCCCAGGAATTACTGTGTATCTAGGACGAATACGTTAGCAATGCTGCCAAGACATGTACTAACCATAGGCAAAGCTCACCTTAGGAGAAATCCTCTAACTCAGTCCATGATCTTTTCCTTAATTTGTGCTCTTTCACTTTCTTTTCCCAACAAAATTCATGGAACCATTATACTGTTCTTGAGCTTACTGTAACTCAATTCTCATTGCCATTGTGTTGAAATAAACTCATAGCCGACCCTCTAGTGGGTTTTCAAAGGCTGTAAAGTCCACTAGGAGAGATCACCCAACTTTCTCCCTTGGGGTTGATGGTGGGTTTGAAATGCCAAAGAGGGGAGGTCTTCAGGGTAGCAGCATAACGCTCCACAGACTGCACCACCAGAGCTGTTCCTATGCTTATGTTACCTACCATAGACAATCTCTTTACACTGAAGGCAAAGCCCTTAATCAGGAGTTCTGCACACACACACACACACACACACACACACACACACACACACACACATCTTATTACAGAGATTCATGGCGCTCATTGTTATTGGATATCTTCGAGTGAGAACTGACTCCTAACTGACCCTCCAGCAGGTTTTCAGAGGCAGTGAATTCCACAAGAGGAGAGTACTCATCTTTCTTCTGTAGAGCAGCTGCTGGATTTGAACTGCCTACCTTTGCCTTGGCAGCATATTGCCTTACCACTAAGCCAGCAAAGCTTCCATGGTGTTCATTAGCTTTACAATATATTTTGTAATAGCCCTTAAGTCTCCAGGGACTGTAAAGGGCCAATGTAGTGTTAAGAACTGATCTGCTTAAAGTACTCAAGAGCAACGGTGTCTCTCTGGAGACTAAGGTCCACCTGATAGAGGCTGTGGTCTTTGCAATCACTTGTTATGAATCAGAGAGCTGGACAATGACTAGGGAGGATAGAAGGAGAATTGATGCCTTTGAGCTGTGGTGCTGGAGAAGAGTACTGAATGTACCACGGACTGCCAAGAAAACAAACAGATTCATCCTAGAGAGGATTAAACCAGGCTGCTCCTTGGAGGCAAGGATTCTGGGGCTTCGTCTGACATACTTTGGACATGTTGTAAGGAGAGAGAGGTCTTTAGAGAGGGACATCATGCTGGGGAGAGTAGAGGGACAGCACAGGAAGGAAGACCCTCTATGAGGTGGGTTGATTCAGTGACTGGGGTAATCGGGATGGGTGTGTCAGAGGCAATGAGATTGGCACAGGACAGAGCAGAGTTTAGGGCTGTTGTAAATTGGGTCACTATGAGTCGCAAACGACTCGACGGCACATAACAACAACAACAACTGCTTCTTGAACAATATTCAACATATACCACCCCACCCCCTGAGAAAATTTAAGTTCATGTAGAAAATATGGACTACCTGAAAAGCAAACAAATCTGTCTTGGAAGTACAGCCAGAATGTTGCTTAGAAGCAAGTATGATGAGACCTTGACTTACGTACTTTGGACGTGAACGATGCTAGGAAAAGAAAGCTCTGGTGGCATGCATAGTCTGTAGGGAGTTGTGTTGTTAACTCAAAGACATGGGTTTTGAATCCTCCAGCAGATTCACAGCTGAGATAAGTAATCCCCTCCCCCGCTATATATATAGCCTCTAAAAACCTGCTGGTGGTTCAGTGATGAGTCAACAATGAGAGAGGCAGAGAGACACAGAGAGAAAGACAGAGAGACAGAAAATTCTTGCTGTGTAACAAGAGAGCTCTTTTCTAAAGCAGAAAATACAAATTACACATAGCTAAGATAGGGACCTACATTATTACAAGTCAAAGCTTTGCCAAATGGTCACCTGCTCCATGGCCCAAGTGGAATTACTTACCTCAAAATAAATGACCAAAGAGCCAATCAGAGCATATGGTGGTATCAGTAAGGTACACAGAAATAGTTCAAGTAATTCATACGTTCTTTCATTAATAACAGCCACTGTGAAGATGGTGGTCTAAAATGAAAAGCACAATGATGGTTCTCTAAAAATGACATTTCTCTAAAAAGTATCAGCTAGAACTTTATGATGTATGGAAAGGGTTAAAAGCTTTTGCTTTTGAATTCTGCCTCATTCTCCAAACCCTATTGCCGTTTCCCCTTGCCGGAATTTAAATGCTGCTGGATTAGGAATGTTTTTAAATACAGAAGCATGCTCCTCAAAGCAAAGGAGCTTACAAGTCTACTGGAGACCTGGTAAAATTCAGCCTTTAAAGGGGAAATTGTTTTTCAAATCTCTCTCTTTCTCTTTTTCATCATTTCACAGTAAGTGATAGACATCTTTTGAGGTTTCCGTATACAACTGTTTCTTTCCATAACTGCATGATATTCCTTTAAATGATATACAATTAAAACATATGTTCTTATATTTATGTGAAAATGATTTTAAAGTAATACGCACCATATCCATACTTACAATTACGAAGGCAAATGACCAAGAGCTCCTGTTCTTTTTCTCTTTGTGAAAAAGGAATGCTATCACGTATGACAAGAAAACAAGAGAGAAGATATATCCAATTGCACACAGGATCTGTGAATAGAAATATTAAAATCAGATCCAATAAATGCTGCCTAGAAAAGATTTCATATTCAAATCTAAATTCTCCAGAAATACACCAGTACGCAGGTAATTTGAAGCTCTATGCTTTGTAATTCACTGTATTAAGGCAAAAGAGTCTAAAATAGTCATCTTGTAATTCATCTTTGATTATGAATTAAGACAAAAGACACTCATATTGTAATTTTGGCCACTTACTTGCACTAAGCTTTGAATTTCAAATACTAACGCCACTGGGATGAACATGTAGTCCAATATGGGCATCAGAAGGAAGAACAGGATACACAAAGGTATATCCACCAATGCCTGCCCAAGCCAGTAAGCAGAAGGGTAGAGACCGGAAATCCGTAGCTGGGAGTATGCTTTTTTCTGGCAGAGAAATAGAAGACATATTAAAAGGTAATGGAATATTTGGGAATTGAAATATTGTAAGCATGTATTTACAAAAATATTCATTTTCACTTTCTACGAAGATGGCGCCGAAAGCGAAGAAGGAAGCCCCTGCCCCTCCCAAAACTGAAGTCAAAGCAAAGGCATTAAAGGCCAAGAAGGCATCCTGAAGGGCATCCACAGCCACAAATAAAAGAAGATCCGCACGTCACCCACGTTCTGGCGGCCTAAGACGCTGAGACTCCGACGGCAGCCCAAATACCCCCGGAAGAGCGCTCCCAGGAGAAACAAGCTTGACCACTATGCCATCATCAAATTTCCCCTGACCACTGAGTCAGCCACGAAGATGATAGAAGATAACAACACACTTGTGTTCATTGTGGATGTCAAGGCCAATAAGCCCCAAATTAAACAAGCTGTAAAGAAGCTCTATGACATTGATGTGGCCAAGGTCAACTCCTTGATTAGGCCTGATGGAGAGAAGAAGGCCTATGTTCGACCTGTTCCTGACTATGATGCTTTGGATGTTGCCAACAAAATTGGGATCATCTAAACTGAGTCTAGCTGGTTAATTCTAAATACAAATGTTTTCTCACCAAAAAGAAAAAAAAAAAGAAAAAAAAAATTCATTTTCCTATATCCCTTTAGGGAGCTCTGGTGGCTTAGTGATAAGGAATCTCACTGCCAACGCAAAGCTGGTTGTTATGTGCCGTCAAGTCGCCTGCCACTCACAGAGACCCTATGTACAACAGCCCTAGACCCTGTACTATGCTATGCAAGTCTCACTGTCTCTCACACAATTACTCCCGTTACCGCAGTCACTGAATCAATCCATTTCATTGAGGGTCTTCCCCTCCTGCGCTGTCCCTCCACCCTCCCAAGCATGACGGCCATCTCCAAGCACTGGTCCCTCTGCAACATGTCCAAGGTATGCAGTTCAAAACCATCAGCTGCCCTGTGGAAGCCAGATGGGAAATCTCTTCCCATGCAATTTACAGCCTCTATGAACTTGTTGGAGGGTTGGTTCCAACTCACCCGTAAACACAACATACCCTCTTTAAGAAATACTGTGTTGGTTCAGCAATTTGTCCTGATGCTTGTTATTCTCTTCCTTCAGATAGGGAGCTCTGGTGGCTCAGTGGTAAGGACGTGCTCTACCAATCCAAAGGCAGACGATTCGAATCCACTGGTTGCTTTGGGAGAGAAAGATGGGCAATCTCCTCCCATGTGATTACTGCCTCTGAGAACTCCCTGGAGGCTCAGCTATGAGTCTTTTCCAAATTGAGGTTACATAACGACAGCTTGAGCTATATGCACATCTCTTGCCAGTCATCTATTCATTCTGCAGTAAACGGCATAGTGACTTTATCTTCCAGAGGAGAAATGCTCTATGTCATCAGCTTGTGTTGCCTCAAGGAGATGATCCCTCACGTTTGCTCATCAAACTCCACTTTCTTTTGATACTGTAATGGCCTGCGTGTTGCACAAAGTTTCAACAGACAGAACTGCACAATTCCTGCTCCTCTTGAAGTGTAGGTTGAACATAAGTAATTGACTTATACTATGATTGACATTATTTATGTTGCACATAAGGTAAAAATGATTGCCCATTATGTTGAATATAAGATAAAAACAATTAGCTAAACAAAGAGAGGTTGAATGATCAAGCCATTTTCAGAAGATCATAGAGCCTGAGAGTGGAAGAGCCAAGATATGAACACAGGAAGATGGGCTTGAAAATAAGACTGAGTAAGAGTGAGAAGAGAAAAGAAGTAGTCATGATGTAATTGCATAAAAGTCAAAGAAGAATAGTTGATTTGCCAGGCTGCCACAGAGAGGTATAGTTTAAAATGAGGGTGAAAAGAAATGAAAACTAGTACATTTATTTTTTTCCGTTTTTTATTTTTTATTGCTTTACATATAAAGTTTATAAACATTGTGTCGCTCACTATCCCTCACTCACGCTGTGTTTCATAGAATCATTTCCATTCATTGTATTTTATAGAATCAATTACCATTGTACCACGCCCATCATTACCCAGCCTTTCCAGACCCCTGATGGATCTTTCCCATTCCCTTTGCCCCTCCCTCTACCCATCAAATTGTGCAACCCTATGATGTCCCCCCTGGCGACCCTCACTCCTCTGCTCCCTTCCCTCTTGCAGCCTCATACACATTTTACTAGTTATCTACTTTTACAAAATGGTCTTATGCAGTATTTGTCCTTATGAGACTGAGCTTATTCACTCAGCATAATGCTCTCCAGTCCCTTCTACATTATGTAGTAATTTCAGAAATTGTTGCTTCTGAGTGCTGCATGGAATTCCATTGTGTGAATGTACCACACTTTCTCAATCCATTCAATTCTGGTTGGACATTTAGACTCTTTCCATGTTCTTGTGATTGTGAATAACAATACTATGAACATTGGTGTAGGATTCTCTGTTTGTGCCTTAGCTCTAATTTCCTCAAAATATATTCCTAGTAATGGAATAGCTAGATCATATGGAATTTCTATGTTCTGCTTTTTAAGAAAACACCAAACTCCCTTCCAGAGTGGTTGTACGATTTTATAATCCCGCAGTAGTGTATTAGAGTTCTTGTCTAACCACATCCTCTGCAACATTTTTGGCTTGCTGTCCTGTTAAACTTTGCTACTGCTACTGGGCTGAGATGGTATCTCATCGTAGTTTTGATTTGCATCTCTCTTATTGCCAGTGATTTTGAGAATTTCTTCATGTGTCTGTTGGCCATCCAAATGTCTTCCTCTGTGAAAAGTCTTTCCGTGTCTTTTGCCCATTTTGTAATTGTGCTATTAGTCTTTTTCTTGTGGAGACCCAGTAGGATTCTGTAAACTTTTGCTATGAGACTCTTGTCTGAGATAGTATTTCCAAATGGTTTTTCCCCAATCAGTAGACTTTCATTTCACCCTGTTGGGAAGTTTTTTGATGCACACAAGGATTTAATCTTTAGAAGGTCTCCTTCATAAATGTCATCCTCTCTTGGTTGTATATTTCTGGCTGTATTTGTCAGCCTCTTCATATCATAGGCTAGGCCTTCCAAGCTTGGTTCTACTTTGTCTCTTGTAATCTTTATAGTCTCTGATCCACCTTGAGTCGATTTTTGTGCCCGTGTTAGCTGTGGATCCTGCTTCAGCTTTCTGCAGGTAGTAGTCCAGTTTTGCCAGCACTATTTGTTGAAGAGGTTGTTGTTTCCCCATTTAATAGGCTTTATTTCTTTGTCAAATATCAGTTGCCCATAGATAGGAGGGTTAATTTCTGAGGGTTTTATTCTGCTCTATGGGTCTATGTGACTGTCATTGTACCAGTACCATGCTGGTATTTTTATTACAGCTTCATAGTAGGTTTTGAGATCATGGAGTGATATGCCTCCTATTTCATTCTTGGTTTTCAGAAGTGCTTTGCTTATTCATGGTCTCTTTTCTCTCCAAATAAATTGTCAGTTGGCTTTCCTATCTCTTTGAAAAAGAAATTTGGCATCTGCACTGAGATTGTGTTAAACATGTGGATGGCTTTTGGTAGAATTGTCATTTTCACTATATTATGTCCTCCTATCCATGAATAAGGAACATTTTCCAATTTATTTAGATCTTTTATTGTTTCTCATAGAAGAGTTTTTTTCATTTTCTTTGTAAAGTTCTTTTATGTCTCTAGTTAGGTTTATTCCTAAGTATCTTCTTCTTTTCTTTCTCTGTGCTTTCTTTGTTATTGAAAAGGAATCTGACAATTTTTGAATATTGATTTTGTATCTTGCCACTCTACTAAATTGGTCTATAAACTGTTAACATGTTTGTTGTGTTTTGGGGTTTGGTTGTTTGTTTTCTTTTTGTTATTATTGTTGAGTCCTTGGAGATTTCTGTGTGTACTATCCTATCATCTGCATACAGTGACAGTTTCACCATCTCTTTGCCAATCTGGACACCTCTTATTTCCTTCTCTTGCTGTCCAATAAATTTCTTGAAGGTTCAGAAGACCTGACGGAACAAAGCAATCATCAGTTGGTGACACTAAAGACACTGGGATGCCAGGAAGGACTTCCTTGAATTTTATACATAAGCTTCTCCCAAATGAAGTTTTAAATGACAATCTTTTCTAACAGTCAAACAAAGTTCTGTAATTATTTGTTCAGGGATGTCTAACCTTTAGAATCTCCTGAAAGGTGGAAAATATCATTAAAATAAAACAAACAAACAAACCGTGTGTGTGTGTGTGTGTGTGTGTGTGTGTGTGTGTGATTTCCCATTTGTTTTTTTTTAAATCTTGTTCCATACAGTCCTTTATTTACATTATATTTTGTTCATTTATATTGTGGGTTTATTTTATTTCCTCCCTATCATCCCACCAACAAATACTTTCATGAAAACCATCTACTTAATGCTTGCCTCATGCCCTAATATCCCCCATTTGTCATTTGCTGATTTGCCCATCTCTATCAAACAGGTCTGGCAGCCGAGTGGTAAGGAGTTGAACTGCAATCCCGAAGGCCCCTGGTTCGAATCCACCAGCTGCTCTGCTGGAGAAAGGTGGCCAGTCTCCTCCAATTTGATTAAACTGCCTCTGAAAACCTGTTGGAAGGTCTGCTATGGGTAGGTTCTGACTTGAACCTACACCAACATTGAACAGTACTCTGAAGAAACAATCATGTCCCTTTTGTTGAAGAATCAACTTTGTTCAACTTGGAAACTTCAAGCACCTGTATCCATAAGCATCGTCCTGTCCAGAGCAAGCCATCAGGTTGTACCATTAAATCCTAGTTCACAGCACAGAACATCTTCTCTTCATCTGGTTGGGGTCTGGTCAACTCATCCCCAGCCACCTATGGCTAGGTTTAGATGGGCATCAGCTGCAAGCACATGCAGGAGTCCACCTTTCTCCCTGCATCCCAGGCCTCTTGGTCTCCTCACTCAACCGTAGACTCCACATGGGGCCAAGTCAAGTCAACAGGCCAGGGGTCCCCACAACGTCCTTGGGTTCTCTTTGTAAAAAAGTCAGAACCGAATTGTAGCTGATCCTTCAGGAGGTTTGCAGAGGACATAAATTACATGGGAGGAGATTACTTATCTATTCCCTGTGTAGCCCCTGATAGGTTCAAAGAATCACCTTGGAAAAAGGGAATGTAATTATGTCAATATAAGTGCCTGTAAAGAAAACTCCAAGTGATATACCAGCTAAGAGTTACAACTCTATTAATCAATGGTATCACCTAAGTTGTACTTCCTGAGAACTAATTTTTTAAAAAAGATAGCGTTTTCAAACAATTTATTATTTTAATTTGTTTGATTGCTCAATGTGTCAAGCACAGAATTAGATGGACCATGTAAATGAGCTTCCCCAACCCCAACCATGAAGGGACTCCTCTAAAGCTGAAACCCACAGAGGACTCGGCTACTCTCCTTACTTTGTAGTCCGTGATGCTACTCATCGCAATGTAAGGTGTAATGTAGACTATTATTGGTATCCAGAGGAAGGCACCATTCATGAGTCCGAACTCGATAGCCTCGATTTCCTAAAATCAGGAAGAATATTGTGAGCTGATGGTAATTGGTCATCTGGTTCATCTAAGCTTCTTTAATTAAATCACACAAGCAAATGAACTGGCCTACCACTCAACACACTTCCCAAGGTCCCATTTGAAATGCCTTAATCACACTCTCAAACCTGTGTTGAAACAACTTGCATTTTGGACATGTGTCCTGATTTGCTTATGAAGAAACATATTTGGCCACCTTAGCAGATTTAGGCTTAATAACGAGTAAGGGAGGCATGGAACTCCCAATTATCAAGCTTCATGGCTATTATAGTCTTTCCTTTTCCTAGGGAATAGAGATAGTGAACTGGAAACATCAAACGCGGAGCCCACTGCCAATGAGTAGATTCCACCGCGTGGTGACAATCAATTGGATTTCCAGGTGTGTAAGTCTTAGTGGAAGGAGACTGTTTCATCTTGTTCCTGTGGAATTTCTGGTGGACTCAAATCACCAAACTAACACTTAACCCACTACATCACCAGAACTCCTAAACTGTCCCTGAAAGGAATATTTTGTCCTTTCTCATAAATTAGTGCCAAGTCAGTTCAATCACGGGGAAGTTATGAAGATTTCCCATTCTTGCCCTGATTCTGCATCTGATACATGAGTTGTTGTTGTTGATTGCCATCAAGTCGAGCGGAACTCATAGTGATCCTATGAACAAAAGGCCTGAAGACTTTCTGTAACTAACTTCATTTCTCCATGTTCATAGAGTTTCCAGAGGCATGTGGTTTAGGAAGTGGATGCCACTCCTGCTTCCAAACGTGTCTTAAATTGCGAACTCCACCAAACACTGTCCACCATGGGAAGCCGTTATGGCATTTGATCCCCTCAATGGCACAAGGTTCACTATCACAGGAAATCCAGATTACCTCAGTGCAGAAGAGTGCTGTACAACTTAGTAGAATGTTCCTCCAAAATAAAATTACACTAGACACTCAGGCCCAACCGACTTTAAAATATAAGGGTGCTCTTGCTCTCGCTGTCATGCTTGCACTCTCGCGCACTCTCTCTCTTCCTCCTCCTCCTCCTCCTCCCCCTCCCCCTCACCCCCTCCTCCTCTTCCTTCTCCTTCTTCTTCTTTATCTCTCTCTCTCTTTCTACAATTATCATAATTTCATAGAGTTTCCAGAGGTGCATAGTTTAGGAAGTGGATGCCACTTCTGCTTTCAAACCTGAATCAATCTGGGAGCTCCGTGAGTAGTATACTAATATTCTTCCAGAAACCTATTAGATATAAATGAACAACTCAAGCAGGTAGGTGTAAAGAAGAGTGACAGGGATTGGAGGAAATCCTGCAGCTTACACTCCACATAAAGACATTGAATTAAAACAGTTCAAATTCCTGTGTAGGACAGAAAAGTCCTAGTGACGCAGTGGTTACAAACTTTAGCTGCTATTCCAAAGGTCAGTGGTTCAAACAAGCAGCAGTTCTGCAGGAGAAAGTGAGACAATATATCTGTTGTAAAGAATTATAGCTTTTGCAACCCCACGGACCAGTTCTCCTCTGTTATGTAGGATTGTTATGAGTTAGAATGATTTGATGGCAGTGGGTGCTTCCATAGGCTGCAGAGAACCTTGGGCTTTCCCTCTAGCCTTGATTTGCTCTATGACCAGTTGCCTCATGACAATAAGACATCTCAGGACACATTCCTGAGTTTTGGAGTCTTGTTCTTTCTCTCACCTCTTATCACCTTACTGTCACTCTGAACTGCTTGAATAGGAATTCATATGTGGAGGTAAAACCCTGAAAAGGGAACAAAAATAATATCTTGCTAGTCCATAGGGTCACTATGAGTCACCTACAACTCGATGGCACTTAACAACAATAACATCAGCACGGAGAGTGATCAGCTGGCCTCATGGACAGAAAGTGATGCTACCAAGCCGAAGGTGGGTGGCTTCTAATCCGCAGCCCTCAGGCCTTGTTTTTCATTGTGTTTGTTCAAACAGTCATCTAGGTGTGTCCACTTGCCATACAGCGGCAACTTGTGGTTGCTGTGAAGCTGAACACTGTGACACTGATGTGTCAAATGCATTAATGGTTACCCATGGTGACAGTGTTTGGTGGAGCTCCCCGATTAAAACAAGCTTGGAAGCAGGAGTGGCATCCACTTCCGTAATAGCTTGACCCTGGAAACCCTGTGAACCTGGAGAAAGGATGAGTCACAAAAGTGTAGAGGACTTTCACTCATAGGGTCGCTATGAGTCACCCACGACTTGATGGCACTTAACAACAACAACAACAACAAACTATCATTTGTGTTGAGTTCTCTAATTTAGGAAGATCTCAAAAAAAAAAAAAACCCACACAAAACAAAACAAAAACCCAAACCCCTCAATCTCATTGTCATTGAGTTGAAATTGACTCATTACTGACCGTCCAGAGGATTTTCAAAGACTGAAAATGGCAAGGGAGTCCATGGAGCGACTGGTGGATTTGAACCACCAGAGAAGTGCAACTCAGAGCAGTACAACACTGTACAGACTAGGCCACCAAAGCTCCCTATTGGAAGGTCTAGAATTCACCATTTAATTCAATAATTAACCCTTTTAGACATGTTGGAGCACTGGTGGCTTAGTGGATAGTGAATTGTGCTGTCAACTCAAAGCCCGGTGGTTCAAATCCACCTGCTGCTTAATGGGAGAAAAGATGAACAATCTCTTCCCTTTTGATGTGAAGCCTTTGAAAACCTGCTGGAGCGTCAGCTATGAGTCAATATCAGCTGAACAGTAACGGATGAGCGAGACCCTCATGTCATAGTCCATCAATAGCATGCTAAAGTCCTGTTAGAGTTTACCTCCCTACAGTCAGACCGTGTGGGACTGGGCCTGGAGGGACCGACACAGAGCACTGGATAAGAACCCGGTACAGGCAAGCGTAACCCAAGCAACCTTGGAGATATTGTCGGTTCTGCTCAAGAGCATCACAATAAAACAGGAACTGTGATAAAGCAAGTTCCACAAACGTCTTGGCTTCTCAGAGCATTTAAAAGTTCTTTTGTAAGGCTGTAAACCACAGGGGCCAAGCCATCTCTTCCTGTCTGAGCGGCTAGTGAATTCGAACCGCCAAAGCAGCAGTCTTTGGATTAGTATCTCAAATTCCTGTGGACTCAGGGACCCTTTTACATGTGAGGCCTGGAGAGGAAGTCAATCTGTGGGTTCTCGGACTGCTGGTATGGACGCTGATTGCTGGGACCGAGTACTTCCGTGTCCCCACGTTTGGCTGGGTCATGTTCGTGGCTGTATTTTACTGGGTCCTCACGGTGTTCTTCCTCATCATCTACATAACCATGACCTACACCAGGATCCCCCAGGTGCCCTGGACCACGGTGGGCCTGTGCTTTAATGCAAGTGCCTTCGTCTTATACCTCTCGGCCGCCGTGGTGGACGCGACCTCAGTGTCCCCGGAGAGAGACAGCCACAACTTCAACAGCTGGGCAGCCTCCTCGTTCTGTGCCTTCCTGGTGACCACCTGCTATGCCGGAAATGCCTACTTCAGCTTTACAGCGTGGAGATCCAGGACCGTGCAGTGATTTGCCATTTTGATAATTTACAAGGAAAAATGATAGGCTCCTCACTGGCAAGCCCCCCAGCTGTAGGCCTAATGGATGTTTTCAGAGACTTGTATTTAAGTGATGTTTTACATCTTTAGTTAAATTTGTTACCATTAAAGTGGACACGTGTTTGCAAAATTCTGCACCCTAAATGATGAACTCTTAAGTTTACTGTTGATGCATGGATGCCCTATTTTCTTAGGCAATGTATAATAAATAGGTAAATTGCTAATATAAATTATAAAAAAAAAGTTCTTTTCTACTACGCTGCAATCTAGTAAGTGTGCCATGGCATTATGCCGAAGTCTGAAAAACTGTGAGAACTGCCAAAATGTGACGGGGACACAAAGGGAGCACATGAGTGTGGCGAAGTGGCGCCCATCCACTGTCTCCACACAGACTGGCCCAAACTTTCAATTTGTGAAAAATGTAGTGTCTACAAAGAAGAAGAAGGTGAAGTGCAATGAAAGAAGGAAACCTTGTAGAGGAAAAGTTAAACGTGTGTATCTATGTGTGCACGATTTGTGTGGAATATGTAACTTCAAACAGATTGTACAACAAGTTCCTAAAAATTCACGTGATATGATTTCAGCATTTCAAGGATTTCCTTACAAATTTATGAGGGCTCAGCGTACATGAAATAATACTAAACTTACCACAAAATATGTGCTTCTGTCCGTCTGAATGCGCTTGGAAGAATTAAACACTCCTAGCAACCCATTGCTGATGATATCCATGAGGACAGGGAAACAATTCAACTTCTTGGTATTACATGCTATGGAAAACCTGTGATGCTAAGACAAGACACATATGAAGGGTAAGTCCTCAGAAAGCAAAGACACAATTCAATGGCTGAACATGATGAAAAAAAATCTTTCAAATCGATGATGATATGGGCAGTGAGTGTGTTTAATGTGATTACTATCATCATCATCCGTGTTATAGCATTTCATTAACATTTGTTTTATGGTTTTATTGGCCGTAGGTGTCTAGTATGACTCATTGCGACCCTCTGAACAACTGATGTGAACCCTGTTCTATCCTGTGCCGTCTTCACAATCTTCAACACTCTCAAGTCTATTGTTGCAGTCACTCTGTCCGTTCACCTGGCCGCAGGTCTCACTTTATTGGAATATTGAACTCATTTGTGTCAAGTTCAGCAGGTAGGACTTGGGCTTTTGTCTCAAGAAATCAGACAGGCACATAAATCTACTAGGTGAAGAATAAGCATCAATATTAATTCTTAGCACTTGGAACTGTCGTGAATAACAGGCATTGTTGTTGTTGTTATGTGCCATCAAGTCGCTTGCGACTCACAGCGACGCTATGTACAACAGCCCTAAACTCTGCTCTGTCCTGTGCCAATTGCACTGTCTCCGATACATCCATCCCAATTACCCCAGTCACTGAATCAATCCACCTCATAGAGGGCCTTCCCCTCCTGAACTGTCCCTCCACCCTCCCAAGCATGATGTCCCTCTCCAAGGACCTGCCCCTCCTTACAACATGTCCAAAGTATGTTAGATGGAGCCTCAGAATTCTTGCCTCCAAGGAGCAGTCTGGTTTGACCCTTTCCAGGATGAATCTGTTTGTTTTCCTAGCAGTCCATGGTACCCTCAATACTCTTCTCCTGCAACACAGCTCAAAGGCATCAATTCTCCTTCTATCCTCCTTAGTCATTGTCCAACTCTCTGATGCATAATAAGTGATTGCAAAGACCATGGCCTGTATCAGATACACTTTAGTCTCCAAAGAGACACCATTGCTCTTCATTACTTTGGAGAGGTCCTTAACAGCAGATTTTCCCATGGCAATACGTCTTTTAATTTCCTGGCTGCTGGTGCCAAGAGTGTTAACAGTGGAGCCAAGCAAACTAAAGCTGTGCACAATCTCAATCTCTTCACCATCCATCCTGATGCTGCCAATTGGTCTAGCAGATATATTTTAGAGGGTATACAAAGATGTTATTAGAATTTAAATCTAATTTTTAAATGGCATTTTAATTAATTCTTGTAATAGATTGCAATTGACACGAGTTTAAATTGATTATTACGGTGTCACTGTACAAAATTTTAAATGTCCTATTATTACAAATAATATGTATTGTAGATACAATATTTGAGAATAATTGTTAAATGTACTGTTATTATAATAAGAAACTCTGGTGGCCTCATGGCAAGGCATTGCACTGCCAATGCAAAAGCACAGTGTTTGAGTCCATTAGCTTCTCCACAGGAGAAAGGAGGGAAATCTCCTTTTATGTCATTTAGTGTCTCTGAAAAGCTGCTGGAGGACCAACTATGAGTCAGTTCCAATTCAAAGGCACATAACAACAATGACAACATTCTTATAACAGAGATTTAGAGCAAATAACTAAAGTAATACTTCTATAAAAATGGAAAATATCTCCAATTAGACTTTTATGTCTATTGATCCAAGTAAAACACACCCTTTCGTCACCAGACACAATGATGGCACCGTTATACGACAGGTCATCTGTGCCATTTCTAGTTCCAAAAGCATCCACTTCCAAAGCTATGTTCTGCCGTCTCAGGGAATCTATGAAATCACTAATGCTTGACCCTACAACAAAGGTAAAAGAAAAGGTGAAAAGAAAAGAAAATTAATAAATCATTAAAAGAATTTTATCTTTTATTTTTAAAAGTAATTTTATTTTAATAAAAGTAAAAGAAATTGTGAATAAAAGAAATCAATTCAAAGTATTACTTTACAAATAATATTTAACAAAATAAAAAAACTTAGCTGCTGTTACCGGAAGTAAATCACAGTCACATCCTGAGAATTTCATCAGCACAGTAGATAGCATATACTAGGTTTTGGATACTAAAATCCATGATACTATCATATGACAAAATTGCTTTGTCTAGAGCTTAGATATTTACATACAGTTTCTGTCAGTGGGGAAACAGAAATACCACTTAATATCACAGTGCTGGCAAGTATCGATTTTCTATCCTCTTAAGGGTAAGGAATTGCGCTGTCAGCCAGTGAAAGGCAGGGGATTCAAATCCACCAACTGTCTGCAGGAGGCAGATGGACAATGCTCTCCTATGCGACTTACAGTCTCTTAAAGCCCTCAGGAAAGGCAGCTCTTGGCTGGTTCTGACCAACATTATATAACAATAACATAAGTAACAACATGTTGTTGTTATGTGCTGTTGAGTCGTTTTTGACTCATAGCGACTCTATGTACAACAGCCCTAAAGTCTGCTCTGCCCTGTGCCAATCTCATTGCCTCTGACACACCCATCCCGATTATCCCAGTCACTGAATCAATCCACCTCATAGAGGGTCTTCCCCTCCTGCGCTGTCCCTCCACCCTACCAAGCATGATGTCCCTCTCCAAGGACCTGTCTCTCCTTACAACATGTCCAAAGTATGTCAGACGAAGCCCCAGAATCCTTGCCTCCAAGAAGTAGCCTGGTTTAACCCTCTCTAGGATGAATCTGTTTTTATTCTTGGCAGTCCATGGTACATTCAATACTCTTCTCCAGCACCACAGCTCGAAAGTGTCAATTCTCCTTCTATCCTCCCTAGTCATTGTCCAACTCTCTGATGCATAACAAGTGATTGCAAAGACCATGGCCTCTATCAGGTGGACCTTAGTCTCTAGAGAGACACTGTTGCTCTTGAGTACTTTAGAGAGGTCCCTAACAGCAGACATTATATAACAACAGTAACATATGTAACAACATAAATAACATTATATAACAACAGTAACATAAATTCCATACTTTTTGGACCACACCCAGGAATTCATAGACTTATAAAATTGATGCCAAAACCTTCAAAGATCAATGATCTATCTTCCCAAAGATCCTCATGATACTTTTTTGCCATGAGTTTTAGGGCTTAGGAAACTCACAAAAATTAGTATTCCTAAAGCAAAACTCTCTAAAATAATATTTTTATGAAAATTAGTATCCTATTTGTACTATGTATAAGTGCTTTCTTAAACATATAGAAGTTCTTTAGTCTTTATGAATTTTGCTAACTGTGAACTTTATTAAGAGCAATATCTTAGCAGTGTGTACCTTCTGGTTTTGTGTCGTACTCACCTGTCTTATTGATGACCAGTAGGTCAGTCAGGTAATCTTGTGGCGGTTGCCCCGGTGAGAGGAAGTACATACTAGGAGAGAGTTCCCAAGAATATTTTCCTCTGAATGTATCAAACATAGCAAGATCAAAAAACCCGGGGACAAGGCTAAGCACTAAAAACAATAACCTGCATAGATGAAGAGATACAAGAAAAAGAATTCATGTGGACCAATTTTTGTAGTTTTTATTAGTCAAAAGCATGTAATAGCTATAATGTTCAAGATAAATTAGAAATACCAATTGAAGAAATGAATCCTGATTTTCCTCGCTTTGTTTCTTCTAAAATGGTATGTCTTCTACATATCTAACATTGATCTTTCCCTCCAAATAATCTTCCTTGGACGTTAAATTGAGGCTCCTAAAGTTTTCTGGTTACAATTCTACAGCCTTTCTCTCAAATGGTTACTTCTGTCCTCTGTTTCAAGAAAAGATTCTCACCACTGGCCCAAATAGCAGTACTATGATAGATGGAGAAGAGATTGAGGTTGTTACCAATTTCCATTTGCTTGGGCCCAACTCAACACTCTTGCCATTAGCAGTTAAGAAACCAAAAGATGAATTGCACTGGGGAAGTCAGGGACTTCTCCAAAGTGCTAAAGAGAAATGATGTCATTTTAGAGACTGAGGTGCACCTGATTCAGGCCATGATCTTTGCGGTACTTGTTCTGTATCAGAGTGATTAAAAATGACAGAAGAAGAATCTATTCCTTTGAGTTGTGGTGCTGGAGAAGAGTACTGAACATACCATGGGCCCCCAAGAAAACAAACAGGTCTGTCTTGGAGAGGGTAAAACCAAGCTGGTTTTGGAGACAAAGACTTTGAAGCTACATCTCACATGTTATGAGCAGATGACCAGGAGGGACCAGTCCTTGGAGAGGACTTTATGCTTGGAAGGGTGGAGGGACAGCACAGGAGAGGAAGATCCTGCATGAGATGGATTGACATGGTGACTGGAGCAATAGGATTAGGTGTGTTGGAGTCAGCGAGACTGGCTAAGGATGGGACAGGCTTCAGAGCTATTGTACTTAGGGTCACTATGGGTCACTGGAGACTCAATGGCACATAACAACAGCAATACTGCAACCTGTTTATCATCAACACCCAAACTCACTATATTCTGTGTCTCTTTCTTTGCCTGCTTTTTAAAAAAAATTTATTTTAACGAAAGTTTACAGAAACTTTGGATTTCCATTCATTCATAGTTGCACACTTTCCTCCATGTCCACACCTTTCCACTAGTTGCTTTTCACTTTAAAAATTTAATAATAATAATAATAATAATAATAATAATAATAATAATATTTAATTGTTACACAATCCCCCTCCCACCAGTCCATTCCACTATGCAACTTTCATTCTGGACACTTTTCATGACAATATTATCTAATCTTATATTCCTCCTAAACAGTTCTCACCTTCATCTGTTTCAATGCAGTATACGTTATTTATCCCCTCTTAGTTTCACTGCAACTCTGAAGTCAGTCCTATTTTACAACAGTGGCACGATGCAGTATTTGTCCGTTTGTGACTGAGATATTTCACTCAGCATAATGTCCTCAAGGATCACCCATTTTGCATAATATTTCGTGAGCTTCTTATTTTTCAGTGCAGCATAGTATCCCATCATGAGAATAAACCAGTTTCTCTAGCTATTCATTTGTTGATGGGCACTTGGATTGTTTCCAACTCTTTGCTATTGTGAACCAAGCCTCAATAAACATGGGTGTGCATATATCTGCCTGGGTGGCAGTTATGGTTTCTTTAGAATGAATTCCCAGTAGTGGAATTGCTGGGTCAATAGGTATTTCTATCTGTAAATCACAACACATTTTTTCACTGGCTTGGACTTAAAACCCCATTATCAATAATTTATCACCTTTAAGTCTCTTCTCCCAATGGTTGAACATTTCTATCATTATGAATATAAATTTCCTTCAAATCTTACTCTCTTTTCTTCTCTGCAAGTTTGAGCCTCTATTCTTCCTTTCCAGAGGTCTTTTAATATCACCCATCGTTTTTATTGCCTCCAATATATAACTTTCACTAAATCATTTTATACAGTTAAACAATTAAGCTTATTTACAATGTATGCTAATTTTCTGAAGATCCTTTTCAAAATTCTAAATTGTTGTTATTATATGCTGTCTAGTTGTCTGCGACTCATAGCAACCCTATGCACAACAGCTCTGAAACCTGCCCTATCCTGAGCCAGTACCACTGACTCGGATACATCTACCCCCATTACCCTAGTTACTATGTCAATACATCTCACCAAGGCCTTCCTCTTCTGCATTGTCCCTCCACCCTTCCAAGCATAATGTCCTTCTCCAGGAATGGTCCCTCCAGACCATATGCACAAAGTATATGAGATGGGGCTTCAAAATAATTACCTCCAATGAGAAATTTGGTTTCACCCTCTCCAATACAGACCTGTTTGTTCTCTTAGCCATTCATAGTATGTTCAAGACCCTTCTCCAGCACCACAACTCAAAGGGATTGATTCTTCTTCTGTCATCCTTAATTATTGTCCAGCTCTCTGATGTATAGGAAGTAACTGTGAAGGCTGTGGCCTGGATGAGAAACACATCTCTTGATCTCCTGACTGGGGTTCCAAGTGTATTGACTGTAGATCCAGGTAAGATGAAGACATTGACAATTTCAGTCTTTTCTCCATCTATCATGATGTCGAGGCCTTCGAGTTGTGGTGCTGGAGAAGAGTCTTGAACATACCATGGACCACCAAGAAAACAAATAGGTCTGTCTTGGAGAGGGTGAAACCAAGTCTCTCCTTGGAGGCTAGGATTTTGAAGCTCCATCCCACATAATTTGGGCACATGGCCAGGAGAGATGTCCTTGGGGAAGGACATCATGCTCAGAAGGGTGCAGGGGCAGTGCTGGAGAGGACGACCCTGGATGAGATGGATTGATACAGTAACTGGGGCCATAGAGGATAGGTGTGTTGGAGTCACTGAGGCTGGCTCAGGACAAGATAAGCTTCAGAGCAGTTGCACATAGGGTTACTATGAGTCACAGGCAACTCAATGGCATATAACAACAGCAACCTATCAGTCCAGTGGTGGGAATTTTTGTTTTCTTGACGTTAAGAAACCATCCATACTGAAGGCTGCTGCAGAGTTTGATCTTCTGCAGCAAGTGCTTAAAGTCACCTCACTTTCAGCAAGCAAGTTCGTATCATTGGCATAACCAAGGTTATTGATGACTCTTTCTCCAGTCCTGATGCTATGTTCTTCTCATAGAGTCCAGCTTCTCAAATAATTTGCCCAGGAGTGGCATCCACTTCCTAAACTACTTTGCCTCCAGAAACTCTATGAACTTGGATAAATGTCGATAGTCGTAGAGGGATTCAGGCCTTTTGTTCAGAGGGTCGCTGTGAGTTGTACTCAACTTGACGGCAATTAACAACAACATATAGAATGAATAGGTATGGAGAAAGGATACAACCCTGATGCACACCTTCCTTAATTTTAAACCATGAAGTTCCCTTGCTCTGAATTTCTAAGCTTAATGCTATCTAAGTGTTCATCTTCTTTTCACTGGTTAGCTTGAGATGTTTTACCCCTCTACCTTAAATTCTTTTTTTTTTTTTATAAAAAAATTCTTGGCATTTAATTCTCTTTCCAATGAGAAACTAATTAGACAGTTCTGGACAATAAAAGTATTTACATGCTGAATACAAATTAAAGTTAAGAAAAAACACCTTCGTTACATCCATTTTCTAGCTGAGTCATTTTGCATTCCCAGCACTCAGCTTCTGCCTCATTTTTCTTTGCCGTTTGTACACCCTTTTCTTCCTTGCTTTCAAGTCAACCTTCGGCTCTGGTTTTACCCACTCGATTTCTACCGGTTTCTCCTCAGCAGGCGTAGCGAAAACATCTGCAGTGGGGTCGTGTGGAAGCACTGTCTTAGGCTCTTTCTTTCTCAGCTTCTGCACGTCTTTCACTTGCTGCTTCTCTCTGTATTTTGCAGCTGTGATGGATCTTATGATACGGCGATGCAAGTTTGGTGACTGGTAGTGAGGATTTTCGTACAGAGTTGGTCCTCCAAAGCTTCCTTTGAAAATCTTTATGAGATTTAAGACAAAACAAGGTCCTATTTCTACAAGAGCAGCATCTTCCTCGATGATCTGAAAGTTCCGAAACCATATCCTGTTATCCAGAATGGTGAAAGTAAACACATGGTCCACAAATGGCTGACTTTTGGGATGATACCGGGGTGTACAAAAGATCTGAATTAACAGTTCCTTTAACAAAGCATAATGTGGCAATTCATCAAATGCATCTACCTTAAATTCTTTTCTCCCTTATATAACATTCATTCTCTGACATCCATATTTGGATATAACTTCTATTTTAGTAAATGTTATTGTTTAGAGGAATGTCTATTTTGACTTATACTTATTTAGTGTTCATCTCACATCCCCTCTTCAATGGTGTCATCTCATGTCTGATTTATTTATGTATGTTTTGTAAGCAGTAAACACAATTTGTGCAAAAGTTTCCATAGATAGTTATGAATGAAAGAGTCATGTCTGCAGTAGGCTTGAGCAAGAGGGTGATAGTTATGAAGAGGCTGAGCTATGTGAGAGGGTATGAACCATGCAATGGATTCCAGACGGTAAGTTTTTACAGGACTTCCGCAGGGCTAGGAAGCTCTGGTCACCTAGGGGTAAGATGCTGTGCTATAATCCATAAGGTGAACAGTTAAAATTTACAAGCTTCTTCATATCAGAATGATGGGCAATCTCCTCCCATGGGATTTATTGCCTCTGAAAACCCAGTGGAGGGTTAGTCCTGACTCAATGGCACATAAAAACACAGGGCTACATGAAAGATACAGGGTAAAGCTTTAGCAGGAAAGCCCATATAAATTTATTTCAGCAAATACACACGAGGTTTTGTTTTTAATGCTTTGCTCCCAGAATTAAGTTTGGTACAGCAGCAAAACAAATTGGAAACATTTGCATACTCACAGGACTAGAAGGCTTTTTCTTTCATTCTTTAATTTTAGGAAGCGAACTTTTGCAATTGCCCAGAACTGCTGCCTCCACAGACACATGGCACTGATTTCTCTCTTTGTTTCATTGAGCGAAGAAATCACTTGCTCCAGGTCAACAAGGCTCCCCGTGTCTTGTACCTCATTGCTTTGCACCTGTTCCCCAACTTCAATGTCTAGAAAACACAAACTCATTAGTTTATAAGGTATCATTTTAGGGGTACACTATTTAGCTTTTAAAATGCTCATTATTTTGCTAAATGGAGACAGAGTTAGAGATTGTTGGGCAAATAGATAAGTACATTTAATGCATATATGAATGCATATATATGTAATATGTTACAGCAACTGCTGAAGAAATTAAAAAGAAGAAAATATTATATACTAGAAGACGATCTTGTATTTTCTAAAAAATAAATTTTTTGTCTGTTTTAAAAGAGTTTAATTAATGAATAGAATAATTAATGGAAATAATGAATTGATAATGAAGATAAATGAATGAAAGAGACTCATAGGAGATAATCTAGAAAAATCTTTTTATTTCAAAAGACAAATAAACTTAATACTTCTGACCAAAGTGGCATAAATACATAGAAGAACTTTCTCACAATTCTCCAAGAATTTGAAAGTAATAAGAAACATTTTAAAACATATAGCAATGGCAAAAGGAAAGCAGAAGTTGCTTCCTTTTGAAGAGAGACATAGAAAAACAGATTAGCTGTAGACTTCATTGGAAAGCTTCATGTACATTAAAAGATAAATGTTGGCACTAAGAAAAAAAAATCACGTAAGTTCTAAAGTGCATGAAATAAGAAGAGAAAATAGTCAATACGATTAAAAAGATAATAAAATAACAAACATAAAACCAAAAGAGAACAGTAAGCAGAGTCAGATGACAGTAAGCCCGAGTGAGAGGGTTAGCCTCGCAGAAATCAGAGGACATGAGAGAGTCCTTCTCAGGGAATATCAACTGGAATAGACAGCAGATGTTTTAAGAAGAACAGAATCCTGAAGACATGGCTATACTACCTGCAAAATTCTCCAAGAAAAGTTTCTGCCAACCTAGAAGCTTGTTTTGCTCTTCTCTGGAGCTCTTTTGTTTTTGTTCGGTGCTGTCAAGCTGACTACTCCTGCTAACAACCACATGAATAGCAGATTGGGGGGCCTGACCCTGTTCTCTAAGCTCCATTCTGTAGCCACCACACGGAGACTTAGGCCATATTACACACGTGTTGTTGGCTCCGTGAGGACCCAGTCTTCAACACTGCTGAATTCTACATACTTAGTGAATGCCTGGTACCAAAAAATCAAATCAAATCTAAGCTGGACAGCAGTGCGGAGCCATAAGGGGAAAAGACAACAGAGAGACATCTCTTCTCTGCTCTAAGTTTCTGCAAGACCATTGAGAATCATGTCATGGTTTGTGCTGTGGAATCACTGCTGACCGATGATAACCTCACAGCAGTGCTGAACCTACGTTATGCCCTCAGTCCTCGTAACCTCCATCATAGAACCTCTAAAATGACTTATTTCCTTCACACATAATGTTTGAAGACAAAATACTGCATGGAAAGATGAAATAAAGGGTTGGGGTTTGCCCCCCCCCCTTTTTATTCTTTCTTTACCTGATTCACCAATAGCTGATTTTCCTTCTAGTTTCAGAAACACTTCATTCAAAGTTGTCATGGAAACACCATAATCCTCAATGCCCTGGTTAGAACATCTGTCAAGGTCCCTGTAAAGATCTAACAGCAGGCACAAAAATGAATTAAAATAATGCAACTTGTAATAAAGTTGGTAACAACAGCCTTTTAAAAAATAGGAAATACGTGTGATAGGCTGAATATATTCAGCCTAAACAAAGCTGTGATGCAAACGTTCTTTTCTTTCTAAATTGACCTATAGAATACATTCATTTCCAGGCCCTTGTTGTCTACCTTAAAACTCTTGGGGAATGAAACAGCAAATTGGAAAACTTGAAGGAGTGGTCAAGATAGTTGGTAGCAAAGCTTTTGTGTTTGCAACACAGTTGTGAAGTCTATAATATTTGCTACCACACAGGTCACTCATAATTATCCTTCAACTACTTAGAGCATTATAAGTCACATTGTTCATAAAGCGATGGGCGTGTGTGGACCACTCCCATCTCTCCTCTTCAACAATTTGCTGTTGTTTCTCCCATCTCTCCATGTTCTGACTGTACTGTCATTTATGTTGGAGACAAATATCACAAATGTTCCTCTTAATTGCGTATGTTGGGAATTCCCTTCAGATGTAGCATTTCCATGCCTCCGTTTATGTGTAAGTAATGTGGAGATAATTCCAGGAGCTAATATTAGAACAATGATCTTTGATGGTAAAATGGCTAAGCACTCAGCTTTTCAAAGTCAGTAGTTGGAATATCAATGACTGGGAGCTCTGGTGGCTTAGTGGCAAGAAGCTGCACTACAATCCCAGAGGTATGTGGTTCGAATCCACCAGATGCTCTGCTGGAGAAGGAGGGACAATCTCCTCCTGTACCAGTCAGATCCGATTTGACGGTACACACACACAAAATAACAAAATGAAATAAAAATTAAAGAAAAATAAAACATCAATCAATGAGAGAGAGAGAGACCTGGCAATTATTCCCATAGACATTACAGCCTAAAGAGATTCCATAAGGTGGGTCTACTATGTTACACGGGGCTGCTAAGAATCAGAATAGACGACAACAAGTATACATGGATTAGAACTAAGCTCAGCAGTATTCTTATAACCACCATCAACCTTAGCAATATATGAGCCAAATCATTCTGCAGCCGCCGCTTTCTGTTACCTGCAAATTTGTCTGTTCTTTCCAAAGGCAAAATATACACAAGCTTTTCCTCGCTTTGCGCTGTTAATTTGGCATCAGGAATATGATGTTTGATGAGTGAAGTAACACTTTCTGGGTCACACATTTCATTCAGGTGCAAACTGGAATCAAAAAAGAGTAAGTTAGTTAATGAGTGGACACAGCCTAGTTGCCCATCAGTGGGTGAGTGTATAAACTGATGGTGGTATGTCTGTTAATTAGTCATAAAAAGGAATGAAGTACTGATAGATTCTACAAAGTATGGATGAACTTTGAGCACATATGCTATGTGAAAGATGCCAGACACAGTAGTTTACAGATTTGTAACTCCACTTATATGAAATGTCCAGAAATGTGAATACTTACAGAAGTCAAGTGGATTCAGGGTTTCAGGGACTAGAGTAGGAGAGGGAGAAAAGTGAATGAAGATTCAAGGAATAAGACAGAGGTGGGAGCTGCACAACATTGTTATTGTGTGACATTGAGATGGAACCAATCCACAGTTCACCCTCCAGAGGGCTTTAAAAGGCAGTAAATCACACAGAAGTATTTAGCAGTATATGCTAAATCACGGGAACTCTAGTGGCCTAATGGTTAAGGAGCTGTGCTCCCAGTTCAAAGACAGATGGTTCAATTCTACCAGCTGCTCTTCGGGAAAAATATAGGCTGTCTCCTCCTGCGTGATTTAATAGTTCAGTTCTGAGTCAATTCCTACTCGATGGCGATGAGGAGAAGAAGTCCTGGAAGAAGTAGTGAGTATAAATACTGTTACAAACTAAACTGCGTAATCCACACAGAAGGCAGAAGAACAACTGGAAGGAATAATTAGAGACAAATGAGGCATCTAAAAGGCTGTAATCTGGAGAAGGGAGATCGCCTGGAGAAGCAGAGGTGGAGGGAATGTCTAGTTTTGTTTCCTTTTATTTGAAAACCTGACTTCGAATTCTGCAAAGATTAGGCTTAGAAAAAAAAATAGTAAAACAAAAATGAAGATCATTTAGCACAATTATTAGGAACATAGACTTAATGTCAGACTGGCTAATTCCGGAACTTAAACAAGTTGTTAAATGTCCCTGAGGATCCATTTTCTCATTGGCAATGAAATACCATTCGTCTCTCATAAGCATTCTGAACATAAGAAATTATGTGTGAGTCTTAACAGAATTTTACACCAAATAAACCCTCAAGAAATGCCAGTATTTAGTTTTGTATTGGCTTGCAGAGTCATTTGTATACATTATGTCTCACTCATGTACATTATGTTTTAGGTAATCTTTATATTGTTTCATACAATCATTTATAGATATTTAATCATTAACTACTATTAATCTATGCTATTATTACCCCGTCTTTCCAAGTAACCATTGAATCCTTCCTGTTTTTTCACGCTCTCATCTGCCCACTAAACTCTGTTACCTGATTTCTATCTACTCTTCCTCTTTTTCTGCTCCTCCGCACTTAAGGCCAACTATTTAATCTCCTTTTTTAAATTCAAGTCAAAGATGATCTGTCTTATCATGAAAGGATATAAAATTCTTCAGGAAATAACTTGATTTTAAGACACTGCATTATTAGCAACATTAAAAAAAAAGTACTAAGAACATCACTCTAGCTTTGATGGCACTAATCTAAAAATCAATTTTAGAAAAAAAATTCTCTTTGCTTACAAAGGTTTGTTGTTGTTGTTGTTATGTGCCATCGAGTAGTTTGCGACTCATAGCGACCCTATGTACAACAGCACTAAACCCTGCTCTGTCCTGTGCCAATTACACCACCTCTGACACACCCATCAGGATTACCCCAGTCACTGAATCAATCCACCTCATAGAAGGTCTTCCCCTCCTGCGCTGTCCCTCTACTCTACCCAGCATGATGTCCCTCTCTAAAGACCTGTCTCTCCTTACAACATGTCCAAAGTATGTCAGGCGAAGCCCCAGAATCCTTGCCTCCAAGGAGTAGCCTGGTTTAACCCTCTCTAGGATGAATCTGTTTGTTTTCCTAGCAGTCCATGGTACATACAGTACTCTTCTCCAGCACCACAGCTCCAAGGCATCAATTCTCCTTCTATCCTCCTTAGTCATTGTCCAGCTCTCTGGTGCATAACAAGTGATTGCAAAGACCATGGCCTGTATCAGACGCACCTTAGTCTCCAGAGAGACACCATTGCTCTTGAGTACTTTAGAGAGGTCCTTAACAGCAGACTTTCCCATCGCAATATGTTTTTTTATTTCCTGTCTGCTGCCTTAGGATAATAACAAATTGGGCATGAGGGATGCAGTTCCTTTCTTTTCTTTTTTTTTTCCGTTCCTTTCTTAAAAGAGCATGTAATGTAACTCTAAAGTAAACATTGTAGTGTAGTCACAAAGGAAAATGCAAACTCATTGCTGTCAGTCAGAACCTCCTCCTTGTCAACCCTCCAGCAGGCTTTCTGGGGCTGTCAATCAAATCACATAGTCGGAAATTGTTCTTCTTTCTCCTGAGGAACTGGTGATGGATTTGAACTGCCAGTGAGGCAGGTAGCGCTCTAAGGAAGCTGAAGACCAAAACAGCTACAATAAAAAGATGTGATGACCTGTATCTGTAAAGATTAACAACAACAACAACAACAACAAACCACAAAAACCTACAAACCCAACAATCAACCCAACCCCACCTCCATGAAGTCAGTTCCAAGTCACAGCCACCCTCTGTGGGGTTTCTGAGGCTGTAAATCATTTTGGGAACCAACTTTTCTGCCTTTTACCCAAGCAGTGGCTGGTTGATTACAACTACAGACTTCTCCTTAGTAACTGAACACATAGAACTTGAAGCCACCAGGTCTCCTCTATGGGGCAATTCGACTTTGCCTGAAGGTTCGCTTTGAGTCAAGATTCATTAGGTGACACACAACAGTAGTGAAGGCAACACTTTAAAAGTGAAGAATTGTAGGGATAAGGCAGTTCATTGAGGAACTCAAAAAGGACTGAAAGAATGGATAAGATTTCAATTTAGGCAAATGAGTTGGAGGAAGATATATCAACTAGAAAAAATAAAACTACAGAACATATCTGGAGAACAATAGGTGCTTACTTTAGTCAGAGGATATTGATTTAATTGTGTTGTGAAAAGCAATAATGAGGACATGGTGGACCTGAGGAGAAAGGCACTAGGGTTAAATAATGGGCAATCCACTAAATCAATAGGAATGATGTGATTTGAAGTATGGTCTTCGAAATAGTAAAATTCTAAGGAGAAGAATATTTACTGGTTCACATCACAACTGTAATCTTGGTCCAAAGGCGCTTCCACTTTCAAACAATATCATCACTTTAAGTTATTTTGGGTTATTGAAAATGATAGTTTAATCTCCTATATGCAAACATCTTAGCAAATACAACATAACCAACCTTAGTAAAAGAGAGGCATTATCTAATAATGATGATAATTATTAGAAGGAGAAAGAGGTAGAAAAATAAGGGATGATAGAAAGCATAAAGTCAGAAAAACCAGTGCAAAAACTGTAAATCATCAAGATGAAGGAAAAGAAAGTTATCTGAAGTATTAGAGAAACAAGGGTTATAGTATATTAAATTGACCTTAGCACGCAGCAGTAATGTGAAAAGATTTCCTAAAACTTTTCTTTAAGCTTACTCTAATAATTCTTGTATTTTTATTATCTAAACTGTCAGGTATCTAAAATTCTGTCTGAAAAAGAAAACAATTCTAGTTTGGTTTAGTATACCTCTCTTGAAATTATTAGTTGCGTAGTCTACTTTGACAAACTAACACAGATAGCAAGTTCCCAACATTTTCAACACATTGTAATGCATCTTTGAGATTAAGGGCTGTACCTTAAATGATAGCCAATGCCCCATTTCTTCTTCAGGAAGAGAGAAGAGCCTGCACACTTCAGTCTACCCCCAGATAGAAACACCTTCCGATCTAGGAGAAAGCATAAGCAAGGAGCTGTGTAACGGAGTTATTCCTTCAGCATTTAGAAAAGTTAGAGTAGATTCAATAATAAACAACATAATGAAATTAAAAATATATTTTAGGATCATGATCCACTAAAATAGATAAATTCCTTGACAAGCTAAAACTAAGAGGAAAAATATACTCATTTAATTTCTGCTATAGGATCCGTCTTTTAAGAAAGAAAAGCCAGGAAATTAAAAGATGTATTGCAATGGGAAAGTCTGCTGTTAGGGACCTCTCCAAAGTAATGAAGAGCAATGGTGTCTCTCTGGAGACTAAGGTGCATCTGATACAGGCCATGGTCTTTGCAATCACTTGTTATGCACCAGAGAGTTGGACAATGACTAGGGAGGATAGAAGGAGAATTGATGTCTTTGAGCTGTTGTGCTGGAGAAGAGTATTGAGGACTGCTAGGAAAACAAACAGATTCATCCTAGAGAGGGTTAAACCAGGCTGCTCCTTGGAGGCAAGGATTCTGAAGCTCCAACTAACATACTTTGGACATGTTGTAAGCAGGGACAGGTCCTTGGAGAGGGACATCATCCTTGGGAGGGTGGATGAACAGCTCAGGAGGGGAAGGCCCTCTATGAGTTGGATTGATTCAGTGACTGGGGTAATTGGGATGCGAGTGTCAGCGGCAGTGCAATTGGCACAGGACTGAGCAGGGTTTAGGACTGTTGTACATAGGGTTGCTATGAGTCGCAATCGACGGCACATAACAACAACAACATGGAATCCATGCTTAGTGCAAATAGTTAATACACTTGACTGATGAATGAGCGGAAGTGTGAGCACACTCAAAGGCACCTTGGAAGAAAGGCCTGGCAATCTACTTGTGAAAAATCAGTCCCAGAAAATGTGGAGCAAAGTTCTGCTCTGAGACGTGGAGTCACCCTGAGTCACAAGCAACTGAAGGACAACCATTTCTTTTCTTATCCCATGTAATGTACTGCCTCTGAAAGCTAGTGGGAGGGCTAGCGATAAGTTAGATTCACAACAATAACAACACACACATTTATATGTTGTTGTTCAATGCTGCTGAGAGGGAACTGACTCACAGCTGACCTTGACCCTCCAGCAGGTTTTCAGGAGCAAGAATCACGTGAGAGGAGGTGAGTTTGTTCATCTTTCTCCTTCAGAGAAGCTGGTGGATTTGAACTGGATGCCTTTGGGTTGGCAGTGCAGCTCCTTACTACTAAGTTGTGTGTGTGTGTGTGTGTGTGTGTGTGTGTATTTATAATATAATTTTTATTTATAATACATATTTCTATTTTTCTTTTTATTTCTATTTTTCTTTTTATTTGTTTCTATTTCTATTTCTACTTATGTTTATTTTATTTTTCATATTTTCACACATATATAAATTAACCTATATCAAAAGGATCCAATATTTTTAATTGACATCATATATGGACAAACGTTAACATCTTTTTGAGAATCATGCAGTGCATTTTAGCCGCTTGGGATGCTCTGTAATGGAATCCGAATACTTCCATTGGATATAACAGTCTGTGATTCAGATGCTCAAATGGGTGGGAACAAGATTCATCTGCCTTGGTGCATGGCACTCACCAGTACAACGTGCCTATAGGCATATCTATGAGTATTTCACATTTGGCCCTAATTCCTCCCTAGGATTGTTGTTGTTGTTGTTATGTGCCGTCGAGTCGTTTCCGACTCATAGCGACCCTATGCACAACAGCCTCCCTAGGATACGAGGAAGAAAATCAACAATCACCAGCCAGAATGTCTGCTTCGTCCATGAACTGCGTGCTGAAGAGGATCACGTGGCCTGATTTTCGCTCTTTCAGGAGGTTCCATACTTGGTGTCTTGAAAAGGGATCCAGTCCAGCAGTTGGTTCATCCAAGAGTAAAATCTGCACAGTTTGAAAACACATGAATAACTTTCCCCGTTAGGACAACAATCCTCTAAAAAGTAGTATATTTATGAATGTATTGGGGAACTATTCTAGTATGTAATGTTTAATTGTAAAAATTATCTTCTATTTATAGACTCAGACTCAGGATCATTGCGTTGGAATCAGAACTCCTTTAGGACAACAATCCTCTAAAAACTAGTATATTTATGGATATATTGGGGGACTAGTCTAGTATTTAATGTTTAATTGTAAAAGTTCTCTTCTGGTTATAAACTCATACTCGGGATTATTGCCTTGGAATCAGAACCGACTCATAGTTGACAGTCCATTGGCTTCCCAGGCTTAAGATCACACGGCAGGAGATCACCCATCCTTCTTCTGAGCAGTAGTTGATAATTAAATCTTATCTAAGGTAGCTGCTGCCTCATAGTCTTTAATATAATTTCACTTTGAATTTGTCCTACGTACCTGAGGGTTTCCTAAAATGGCAATCCCAAAAGTCAGTTTCCTTTTTTGTCCACCACTTAAATTTTGAGCAAGGACATCTTGAATATTCTCCATCTCTAAGTCCAATAAAACTCGTCGTACCTAACCAATGGAAACAACTTAGTCCAAACTCTTAAAATGTTTCTTTTAAAAACATTACCATTTTGCTGTTATTTACAAAAGGGGTCTTTTCATCATTACTTAGACAATGAATCGTGAAGAAATAATTTAACATAAACTTATTCCAAATTTTCCAGACATCAGAATGTAATTTCTATGACATTGTGACTTCAAATGTCATCATATACCTCTTTGTCTGCTTCCTGTGCCTGAATCCCTCTTATCTTAGCAAACAATCTGAGATTTTCTTTCACAGTGAGAATGTCAAAGTGTACATTGTACTGTGGACATACTCCAGTCAGTTTCATGATACTTTCCAAGTCAGCCATTTCTGAAAGTGTGTGATCATAGATGGTACTGGAACCTAGAAGCAGAATACAGAGTTAGCACCAGGGTAATGCATCATACTTCATGTAAGATATTTTAAAATAGAAAACTGTTGTTGTTGTTGTTGTTATGTGCCAAGACTTTTTTAAACATTTACCTGTAATGAGTCAACAACTGACTCATTAAAAACATCAAGGTAATGATCACAATAATGTATATTACAGTTGAACTGCTCATATATCTCAAAAATCCATTACCAGAGACTTGTAACTGACTCATAGTCGACCCTCGATTTGATTTCTGATGCTGTAAATTGCCTCTCTCCCTCAGAGGGACTGGTAGATAAGTCTGAGAATTGCACCCATTAACCCTCTGCAATGTCTCTTCTTGTTTTACCAGGGATCTTTCTCACTTTGAAATAACAGATGTTAGATATTTATCCTAAAGTCTTCTTTTCTCCAAGGCCTGTATCTCTAGGATTTTGTGCATCTCACCTTAATAAATATCTGGATTATGCTGAGTGAACTAACTCAGTCCCACAAGGACAAATACTGTATAAAACCATTTGAGTAGAAAGAGTATGTGGATCTCAGCAGGGAGGAGGGTGGAAGCAGATGGATGAGGAGGTGCAGGGATGAGGGGATTAATCATGAGGTTGTACAATTTGTTGGGTGGGAAGATGAGGCAGGTGGGAAGCACCTGGTGTGAAAACAATGTATTTTAATTTTGTAAACAAACAACTATTTTTGTTTAAAAAAACCCCAACAACTGATGTATTTTAACTGGTGGAGCTGCATGTTGGGAATAAGATTAATAGTCTCCGCTGCCAAAAGGAAGCACAGACTCAGAAACTGGATAACAGATCACTAAGAATCAGAATTTACTCAATGAAAATGGGGTGTTTTGGTGGTTTTGGGAGTTTTTTTTTTGTTTGTCTGTTTTTGTTTTTCCTAATCATCTAAATCTTATTGCTTTTAACAGCCATTTATCATGAATTATTCAAACCACAAGCAATATTTTCCTCAAATAAATAGAACAAAATCTTATGAATGAATACCTTAGAGAAATTCCTCCAACTTTTCTCTTCAAAACTTGGGGATGGTTATTACTCAATAATAACATAAAAATAAAAAAATAATAACATAAAAATAAACAGTTGAGTTATAAGCCTATGTACTTGTCTTTGGAGGGTTGGCCTCTCACCTGCTGTTGGAAGTGACATGCCACTGAGGATGTTTAAAAGTGTGGTTTTCCCAGCCCCACTGTGACCAAGGAGGGCAGTGATCTGTCCTTCATAGATGTCAAATGTCAGACCTGAAATTATTAAATAGAGAAAAGAAATGCACACACAGAGACAGAGAGAGAGGTTGAGAGGGAGATTTAGAACTTGCAAATTAGTCTTATATTTTCCAAGACTTTTATGTGGTACAGTAGGGCTATATTGACTGTTAGTCTAAAGGTAAGAAGCTATGCTGCAATTCTGAAGGATCTTGGTTCAGATTTACCAGCTGTTCTGCTGGAGAAAGACCGACAATCTCCTCCCATGTGATTTTTCTGCCTCTGAAAACCTGCTGAATGGTTAGTAAAGGGTCAGTTCTGATCTGACGGCACACAACAAATATTGACTATTGTTATTGTTACATGCCATCAGCTTGTCTGTGACTCATAGCGACCCTATGTCCATTAGCTCTGAACCCTGCCTTATCCTGAGCCAGTCTCAGTGTCTTTGACAGACCTGATCCCATTTCTCCAGTCACTGAGTTAATCTATTTCATCATGGGTCTTTATCTCCTGCACTACCCCTCTACCCTTCCAAGTATGATGTCCTTCTCCAAGGACTGGTTCTTCCTGGTCATGTGCCCAAAGTATGTGAGACAGAGCTTCAAAATCCTTGCTTCCAAAGAAGGAACAGTCTAGTTTTACCCTCTCTAGGACAGACCTGCTGTTTTTCTGGCAATTCATGATATGTTCAACACTCTTCTCCAGCACCACAACTCATAGGCATCAGTCCTTCTTCTATTATCCTTAGTTATTGTCCAATTCTCAGATGCATCTCAGTAATTGTGAAGATCATGTCCTGGATTAGGCACACTTTAGTGATTAAAAACCCTACAAAACTGAAACTCACTGTTATCGAGTCAGAACCGACCCAGTGCTGACCCTCCATTGGGTTTCCCAATCTGTAAGCTGCAGTGGGGGAGATTGCTTCTTCCTTGGAGTCACTGTGGACTTTAACTGCCACAGATGCCTGGCGTCTGGGTTAGGAGGGCAACTTCCAGAGGTTATGCCACCATAGCTCGTTAGTTAACATAAGACTTGTCTCATGATTTCTTAACACTGTCTCTCATGTAATATAGATAATATAGTTAGAGCATTGCTAATGATATATCATAATGAAGTTAACAATTATTTTATAAAAGCAGCTTTGTCATAGAAGAAAGGTAACCCATGATAAAGATAGCTTCGTTGCTGTGTACCATAGAGTCAGAACTGGCCTGTAGCTGACCCTCTGGCATGTTTTCAGAGATAGTGAATCACGTAGGAGGTGATTGCCCACTGTCTTCAGGATTGCAGTGCAGCTTCTTGCCTCTAGGCCATTAGAATTAAATAATATGATGAGTTGAAAACAAAGAATTTCAGGGAGCTACCAAACCCATAAATTCAAATTTATAGGTTTACAAATAGTAACTTCAATTTCCTATATTTACATGGGTTTTAACTTACTTGAAAGAACATAGGATGAGTTTAAATAAAAGACAGCTATTATATTTGAAAATCTATTCTGAATCCTTTAAAAGGGCCTACTACAGTGAATAGACTCTAAATTAAACAGTCCTGTAAAAAAATGATACCATTTCATTACCTTTCAAAGCTTGTACTTTCCCATGCTTTCCTTTATATTCTTTTTTGAGATTTCTGATCCTGAGAAAAGAAAAGACACAAATTGAGGAAGCAGTGGAGATAGCCAAAGGAGAGATTCATCAAGTCTTTAAAGGGGAGAAGCAGGCTGGGGAGTCTTCCCCTTCCCACAGTCACAGGGGATTGGCAGAAGCATCCAGGGCATCTTGTTTGAGTCAGCATCCCTGATAATGATACACAGAATAGGCTACACTGGCAAGGACCTCTTTAAAGGGCTAAAAAGCAAGGCTGTTAGTTTAGAGACTAAGGAATGCCTAATCCAAGCCATGGTATTTGGTATCTGACACAAGCTTTATGCTTGTGAAAGTTGGACAAAATATAAGCATAAGATAATTTATGCTTTTGAATTGTGGTGCTGTTGAAGCACATTGACTATACATACTGTGGACAGCCAAAAGAATAAATCTGTCCTGGAAGAAATTCAACCAGGATGCTTCTTAGAGACAAAGAGTTAAGAAGAACCTCAATTAGATGGCTTGGCACAGTCACTGCAATAGTGGGATTAAGCACAGTGGAAATTGTGAAGGATCAAGCACAGGATTAAGCCATTTCGATCTATTCTGTATAGACTCACCAGGAATTGGAGTATATCGGAAGGCTCTTGAAAACAATAGCACTACAAAGTAGCAGCTATCTCATGGCCGATGCACATGACTGATTCCCCTGCCCACAAACCATGCTCCCAATCTCCCCGCCCTGGACAGAAGCATCCTGGAAGGCCTTAAAACCAATTTCTTGGGGAGACTCGGGGCTCTCTCATTTGCCATCTTTCCACTGAGGGAGGGACCCTCCCAATGTAGAAAAATTATTTTAGCATGTTCTTTGTTTCTTGCATACATGAGTCTTAGTCCTTTAAGGAGGTGGCATTCTTAATCATAACAGAGAGAACTTCACTCTTTGTTGTTGCAAATATGGGATCCATGCTCTGAGAAGATAGACATTCAAGGGTTTTACATATAATACATGCTCAGCTTTAGAAAAGCTTAGTGAAGAAGGGGAACATAAAAACTTTTTACAAAACTTTGCCGTTTGAGCAATGAGCAAACTCTGAACAAAAATCTAGGGAATTGAAGGATTTCTAGTAACTGACATTGTCTGGAACACATACATAATCACAGAAGGAGTATACACATGACACCATAGCCCTAACCTCTTGTGTTCCCTTCTCTTATTTCTCCAGGATGTCTCTCCCATATCATGCATCGCCAGCCTCTTCCTCTTTCTTATTAGACAGGAATAAATGATGAGAGAGAGACAGATGAAAAGGGGTGATAATAACAAAGGAGTTTATGGTTGAGTTAGAAAGAGGGAGGCAAGTGAGAGGAAGGGGCCAAAAAATAAAAAAGAAACACACATCAATAAAGAATATAGAGCCTTGAATATTGTGTATTCATAGATGATTGCCACTATACCATATCAGGAAATGGAAATGGAGACATTAAGTTATTAGGAGGGGCTGTGAGTCCTCGTGAGTTGGGTATGCTGGATGTAGGGATACAAAGGGTCTGGAGACCTCTGCTCATGTAGGTTTTGCCCATCCTGACTTGTTATCCATCTGTCCTCCCACATAATTTATTACCTGATAGCTTCTTTTCCATGGAATTCTGGAGACACCGGCTCAAAAGAGCTATTAGAAGAAGGATCAGTGTCTATGTCATTCTCCAGAGCTATGTGATCATCCTTTGTGCGTGGAAACCAAGACGACTTGAGGAAAAACAAGGGAGAGTGGCGATGTCCATATTCATCTACACATGGAGGCAATTAAATATGATGTCACTGGCCACTGTCAGAGGTACATCATGCTAAGCCAATCTCCTGAAAGCTAGTCCTAGACAGTTATTCTCACTGGAAGATATTTCTGTTGTTTCAAGTAACACATTTTGTAGAACTTTGTTATTTCAGTGCTAGGAAGCATATATCGATTACCATGGACTTTGATTATGACTGTAGCAAACCTACAGGACACAGTAGAAATCACCCTGTTAGGTTTACATGGCTTTAAAGAGTGACATAAACTATCTGGCTTATCATTCTCCCACAGAAAGGCTGATGAGTTTGAACAATTTTCTAGTTAGCTGTCAAGCACCCAACTACTGGGCCACCAGGGCTTCTAAGGAAATGGAAACAAGTAAAAGACTTTGTGTCTTCACAGGAGAGACTGTGCATTCAACATGCAAAGTTAAAATATTGAGGATTTTAAAAAATCTATTCCTTTCTATTAGCAACCTTGGTGGCATAGATCATATTATATCAGACATTCAACCAAAAGGTGATAGCTTAAAGCTACAAGTTGCTATAACAGATAAAGATGGACAGTCACTTTCCCCAAAAGAGATAAACAACTTCAGAATCCAATGGAGGGTCACTATAGGTCAGAACTGATTTGAGTTTACTGTATATAAGGTAAGTGAAATAGGGAATTATTTAAAAACTTCCAAGTTCAAATATGAACTACCAGGTATTCTTCAGTTAGGTCTGATACAAGCACCAACAATATAATTAATCCATAATCTCTTACAAGATTTTTAAAAATAAAATATATAAATGGTAGAAAGTAGTAGAGAATGAATCAATAAATAAAATTACGGATACCATTAGGCTATACCAGTTTTCATTGCAGCACAATTCACAAAAGTTAAAAAGTGGAATAACAAAGCCAGAAGGTTATTTAACATGATAAAAATGTATTCATTATCATGGAATTCACATGTTAAAAATCCCAAATTGGCAAATGCCTACTGCCTTATTGTATATATGGAGAAGAAGGATAGGCAATCTCCTCCCATGTGATTAACTGCCTCTGAAAACCCACTGGAGGGTCAGCTATGGGTCATGGGTCAGTTCTGACTCCACGATACACAACAGATATCTATCTATCTATCTATCTATCTATCTATCTATCTACCTATCATCTATATCTGCATCTCACATGCAAGCAAAATATTGCTGAAGATCATTCAAAAACTGCTAGAACAGTACATAGATAAGGGACTATCAGAAGTTCAAGCAGGATTTAGAAGAGGCTGTGATGAATCCTGGCTGAAAGTAAAGAATACCAGAAGAATATCTATCTGTGCTTTATTGACTATGCAAAGGCATTTGACTGTGTGGATCACAGCAAATTGTGGCTGACATTGAGGAGAATGGCAGTCCCACAGCACTTAATTGTGTTCATGCAGAACCTATACCTGGACCAGGAGGATATTGTGAGAACAGAGCAGGGGGAAAAGAGCATGGTTTAAAATTGATAAGGGGGTGCGCCATATTTGTATTCTCTCTCCATTCCTGTTCAATCTGTATACTGAGCAAATTATCTGAGAAGCTGAACTCTATGAGGAGGAATGTGACATCAGGATTGGAAGGAGAATTATCAATAACCTACATTATACGTTATGCAGATGAAACAATTTCACTTGCTGAAAGTGAAGACTTGAAGCATTTGTTGCAGAAGATCAAGGAATGCAGGCTTCAGTATGGATAGACTCTCAATGTCAAAGAAGCAAAGATTCATAACACTGGACCGATAGGTAACATCATGATAGATGGAGAGGAGATTGAAACTGTCAACAGTTTCATCTTGCTTGGATCTACAATTAACACCCTTGATACCAGCAGCCAGGAAATAAGGAGATGCACTGCACTGGGAAAATCGACAGTTAGGGACCTCTTCGAATTATTGAAGAGCTATGATGTCAGTTTGAGGACTAAGGTGCATCTGATTCAGGACATAGTCTTTATGATCACTTGTTATGCATCTGAGAGCTGAGCAATGAATAATGATGACAGAAAAAGAATTGATGCCTTTGAGCTGTAGTGCTGGAGAAGAGCTCTGAACATCCTATGGACAGCCAAAAGAACAAACAGCTATGTCTTGGAGAGGGTGCAGCTGGAGTGATCTTTGGAGGTAAGAATGATGAGGCTTTGCCTCACATACTTTGGGCATGTTGCTGGGAAGGGCTATTCTTTGGAAAGGGACATGATGCTGGGAAGGGTAGAAGGTCAGAGAAGGAGAGGAAGACCCTCAACCTGGTGGATTGACACAGTGACTGACCCAATGGGTTCTTGGGTGTCAGGAAGTGTGAAGATGGCATAGGATAGTAGAGTGCTCAGATTACTTGTTCATAGGGTCACTGTGAGTCATATTTGACTCAATAGAAGAGACAGAGAGAGAAAGGGAGAGAGAGAGTGCAGCTCTGGTGGCTAAGTTTTAAAGAGTTGTGCTGCCAACCCAAAGGTACGCAGTTCAATCCCATAATCTGCTCTGTGGGAGAAATATGGGTAATCTTTGCCTGTGCAATCTATAGCCTCTTAAAATCCACTGGAGGGTTAGCTACAAATCAATACTGATTCAACAGTACACAACAACAACAAATAAATATATGTACATGTACATACACACA